TCTAAAATAGTTTATACTATAGTAAGAGTTTAAGCATTGCCTTATCTAATTTCTTCATTATGAGGTTTCTTGATTGCTACTTTCTCTTTGATAAGATTGCGAACTTTGACAATTTTACTTTTTAGATAATTTTTTCTTTATTCAGTTTATTGACGTATTTTAAGAGTCATTCTATGTTTAGGTTAGAGTTATTGTTCAGCATTTAATCTTGGATAATTGAGTGTTTGAATTAATCTTTATAGATTTAAGTCACCTTTTAAGTAATGAGCAAAATGTTATTCAAATTGTTATCCATGATTACGTGTTTCGAATGGTTTTGTAGTTACTAATGGATCTATATGTTTTCTTGATGAGATATGTAAAGTATTAAATTTACGATGAATATTTTTAGAGTGATCGAATTCACATGTTGTAGAAAAACTCATTAATAATTTTTATAAATGCAATTTAAAGAAGAATTGATTAATGTGATTATCAATTTGATTGAAGAATTATTTGAATGCAAACTTAATTCCATTATGCAAGAAGTATTATAATAAATAAATATAGGTTAATGATAAACTTACTCGTATGCATTAAGATATAGAAAGTATGTAGGATGTACTTGTTAAACACTTTTCACATTAAATAGCTCATTCAAGAACAGAATCATTAAGTGAAACAATTGATACTGCAGAAGAAGATTAATTTAAGAAATCAATTAATGCAGAATTGGATAGTCTTGGTTTACGTATTTAGTAATTAGAATATATGAATCATATTATACTTGATACTTAAAGTGCTAATAAAAATAATTATAAAGAATTAGAACGTAAAATATAACCATTACAAGAATAAATTAATAAATCAATAGAAGATATGAAAAAAGATTTAAAGGGTACAATCTATCTATTAATATAGACAAACAGACATTTTAATGGACAGTATTAAATGATTAAATTGAAAGAGTAGAAAAATATGTCTAAAAACTTAAATAAGCAGATCTCTTATTCTAATAAAAATAATAATAATTGTAAACACAAACAAATAAGAAATAGAAATGAAATGAATTTAACTAATATATAGTAATTTAAATATCATTATATATTATTATTATTATTATTTACATAACTAAAAATTGTAGATATAGTGTTCTTTTTTGGTAATTGTATAATATCTGGACTTTAAGGATTATCTGGATCAATATATGCTGATATTACACTAGTAAATTCATTCTATTCAATTACTTTTTAATTAATTTTATTTCTATCATGTTTTCTATAATAATATATATTAATTGATATACATATATTTAACTAATTATGGTGCAATTGAATTTAATAAACTTATTGTAGTATTAGTAGATGATGTATTTGGTCTATTAGTGTTAATTTATAATTAAGAATTAAGATTCAAATTTGATTTTTATAATTTCAATTTTTAAATGAATTCCATAACATAAATTCTAGCCTTTTTCCATAATTATAATGCCTCTAGTTTAGTATGATAATTCTTAGGTTTTTTGATACAATATTTAATACAAGGATATCTTATAATTAAATTTACTATCTTCTCTATGTGTTATTATTTCAATCCAGACAAATACTCTTTAATAATCTTTGTAATAATATATGAACAATAGATTAAATTAAGAATTGAACATATTATTGATAACATATATACTAACCAACTATATGGATTTTTGTGTTGACTATAAGAACATATCAAAGTGATCATAGCTAATTAAGTAGATATTTTATCAATAAAGTTGTATTATTTCTCAATATAAGGTTATTGTTGATTCAACAATTCTAGATAAATCAATAATACTAATATAGCAAATAGAAACATTTATTTAATGTCTTAAATCAATAGAGTCTCCAATAAATAGAAGATTGATTTAACAAAGAAACATATGAATTCCCAATAATAATATTAATCTTTATATTCCACATATAAATAACCATAAGGCATTCTTAATTTACAAGTCCACAATTTATTCTTATTAAGATACAATTTCACTATATAAAACATGGGAGAGATTACACCAACTATTATCAAAGTAGGGATGATAAATATTTCTAAATAGAAGTAATATTCATCAGTATAACATATATATTATGTAGCTGCTTACATATAATATTAACCTGAAGCTTTAATACAAAACATTAATTATAATAATCCTTCAATAATGTCTCCTTAAAAATAAAAATTAACTTAAATAACACAAGTGATAAAAATAGTTTTGGTTGAATTCTCTAATTTCTATTTAGTACATATTTATATTATTGAATAAATAAATACAAATGATAATACAAATAGTAATGAAACAAAAAGATTCCAAAATTATCTTAAATATACAATCTCAATATCTATATCAGAATGCAATAGAAAACATTCAATAGAATATCCTAATGTTGATAATGGATTACCTATCACTTAAGTTATAAATACTAAAGGTTAAGGAAAATCAAATTCAATTATTAAAATAATCGAAATTAATTAAAAATAACTAGATACTAATTTAATTAAAATTTCAGTTTAATCAAATATCATTGTAGATCTAGTTGCAAAGAATATTCCCATCAATCTTAAATAATAAGCTGATAATTATGATCTAACTAATTTCAAACTTCCTCTAACTGATATAAATAAAGCAATTAGAATCCATAAAAATGATAGAAATATTTTTAATAAGTTAAATGTATCATTTTAACATAAAGAACAACTTCCACTATAATCTCGTGTATATGAAGCATTCCATTTTATAGCATAATAATCACAATCATTACATAATGCACCAATATAACCTTATTTACAAGTGAAATCTTCTATTCCTCCTAAACATTAAGAATGAGATGTTCCACAATATTCTATTTCATCTGTTAAATTATTTGCTCTCCAATAACCTTATTTAACAATCAATTATGACCCTCCTGGACATGATTCAATTGAAGTTATACATTATAAACATTATTTATAGTTTGTTAAACTATATGATCCAGCTGGACATTATTAACATGTTTAATTAGTCCATTCTTCTCCTATTTCACATTCTATCATACTTAAATATATTGATAATTTAAAAGTATCATTATAAAATTTAAGTTATGAAAACTCTATTTATATTTCTATTATTTCAATCTTTGGTTATTGTTAATATTAAGTATATGATATTACATATTAACATTTTTAATAATCAAATTTAAATATCATTTTATTGTTAATTATTAAATAATTATTTAATTTACATAATCTATTCATTCCACTATCTAAAATAGCTATAATGAATTCAATCATTTATCCACTCTTTAATTTATTATATTCTATTATTGTATTCTTTTTAATTATATCATCTAACAAATATGTCATATTACCCACAATAATATAAACAGGTCCAGTAATATAAGTCAAAATATCTGGTTCAACAATTTAATTTGTGATTAGATAAATATATTTATTAGTTTTCATAGTACAATTTTCATATTAATTAAATTCAATATAATTTGTAGAATCTCCAATTTGATTTAAGTATATTACACCACCATCAATTGAATTTAAATCAATAAATTAATTTTATAAGATTTTAATTGATGAATTTCTTATATAAAAAGCAGATCCATAAATACTTGTATTATTGGTAAATATATTATCCATAGCTATTAAATTGATATTATTATCAATATTCATGTAACCTAATTATGAAATAGAATTATTGAATATACATTTTTATATCTCACTATAAATACTATTCTATATTACTATAATACCATCACAAAATTAACAATTGATATTATAAATCTATAATTCATTTAATATTATCTTTATATTATCTTCAAATTTTATAAGTTATCTATTATTCTAAATAACATTAAATATCTAACTCTATTTAATAATAAAATTAGAATTTTTAATTATAATTAATGAAATCAAATAGTTTCTAATTTAGAATATCTTTATTAAACTAAGTTCAATTTATGAATCATTAATTAATAAAAAAATACATTCCTCACATTATTCCATTCTAAACTTTCTTATTACTACATTTACAATATTTGATAATTTTGCAAATTAAATTGATGTACAATTATTAATTATCAAATTAGTAATTTAAATTAAAGAAGACCATTCTAAATCAAATAAAATTTAATTTGATATATTAGTAAAATTCACTTAATCAATTAAAAGTTCTTGAATTTAATTTTTATTTGATATTGTTCCTAATATTGAATTAAAACTTCCTTTATAAATTGAAAGAATGCCATTAACATAAAATAAAGGATTTGTTGATTAACTAGAATATATTGTGATTTAATTAATAATAACATTACTAGAATAATGTGTATTCTTCATTAAGTATCCTTAAAGATTCTACAAATTAAACTATTTAATAAGGATATTTTATGAATTTAAATATAAGATTACTTCGGATTAGATATTTATCATAGTTGTATTTAAAAGTGATATATATTAACTATCAGCAATAATTAATTGACAATCTGATATAATAGATTGAAATCTATTGCCAATAATTTAAATTTGATTAATACTTTTCATTCTCATCAAAGTACTTTGAGAAAGTGTTACATTAATAATTGTAGTGTAAAGTGCTCCATTTGCTTATATGACTGTAGAAAGAGTGAAATAAGAATTTTGAATTGTAATTTCTTGTGAAATATCTGTATCAATCAAAATACTTTAAATCACAAAAGAATTATTAAAAGTGATTCTTTTTAGTGAAGCAACTCTAGTTAATGTAGAGTTGATGAAACTGACTTAATCAAATTAAATGTTACGTAATCTACTATGTTATTGGACAAGAGAACTTCTAAAAAAAGTTGAATCAGATATTATCAGTCCATCTGCATCTATTGATGAATTAAAGACTGGATTATATTAAAAAGTCATCTTACTCATTGTACACTATTGAATGTATACTTTGGTTGCATTGATTTAACAATTTCTTATGAGAGTAACATTGTTCAAATGAACTTGTGTTGATATTGAAAGTACTTTAGTTTGAGTATCAATTGTTATATTTTCAAATTCAATTAATTGGAAACCTTATAATAGAATGTTCTAATTCAATAGTAATTCAATTCCTGTTATTTTAAGTTACCCTCCTAAGGATGTCATATTGATTAGTTTTTCATTACTTACATTTAGAGTGCAATTATAGTTGGGGATTGTGATGGATTTGTCAATTTGCAAAGTTAAACCTTATTTGTCTTTACAAATCAATAATCCTATAGTGATATATATATTTATGAGGAAAAACAATCTTTTCATCAAATAATAAATAGTTATTAAAATATTTCAATATACATCAAAATCATAAAACATCAATTCACATCATAATATTTATGATCTGTATATTAATAAATAATATTTAATTATTTATATTACTTATATTTAACAATCAAATTAAATCGATGCAATAATTGCTATTCCTAATAATATTGTTATTATTAATAAATTATCATTTTCTAAATTTATTATTATAATGTAATTAAAATATATATTACATAATGGAAATACATTAAATTAATAAAATGATTATATGGTCACTTCTTTTGTTTCAACAATTTTATAAAATTATTTAGTTTTTACTAAAAATGAATATCATTTTAATCTGTTTTTTTAAAAAAGATATGATGGATGTTCTTAGAATAATAATTCTAAATTATGATTTCTTTTTTTGTATAATAATTTCATAGATTCTTTTGTTATATTTTATATAATTAGAGTGTTTAAAAGAATGTTAATTAAATTATGGAGTATAAATATCTATTTACATATCCTTATGTATAGTTATATATTATAAGTTTAAGATGGTTTGACTTATTTACTTAATCTAGTTGATAAGAAACTTAGTAATCAAGAAAGATTTAGAATAATATCATTAATAGTTTATATTTATTAATATATATATATAATATATATAAAATGAATAAAGCTGATGATAGTGCTAATTAGTTTTTTGTCATTGAACGTAAGATAATGTTGTCAATAATGTAGCAATTGATATGAGTAGTGAGAGTGAACCTGAAGATTTAGAAGATTTGGATGATTTAAATGATATCAAACATGAAGAAGATAATCTCAATGATTTAGATAAGATTATAACTGATGTTAAAAGTAAGTATTATATTCTATAATTCATTAGAGGAAGTTTAAATGCCTAAACCAACAACAACAATACCAGCCAAAGGAAAGGCAAAATCTATAGAAAGACCTGAAGTTGTTGATGACTTTATTCGTAACTTCCTCATTAAGAATCAAATGAATAGAAGTTTAGAAGTATTTCAGGTATTTTAGATCATTAACTATTCTAGTAAGAATGGTATGAACTCTCATAAAAAGGTAAATTGGCTACAGATGGTATGGGTGAAGTAACAGATGTTTATATTTAAAATGAAAAACTCAAAGAAGAACTTAAATATGTAAGAGGTGAATTAGATAAAGCCAAAATTGTAGCTGAAAATGCAAAATCTACTTATGATAAATTGAGAAAAGAAAGAGATTTCCATAAGATGCATCATCATAGAGTTCAATAAGAAAAAAGAAAATTGAATCATGACATTGATAAATTAAAAGGATTGCATTTATAATATGAAACTAAATATGAAGAACTATCCTAAAAGTATTCACATGCTATGAAAGAGAAAATGCTATTGAAATTAGAAAGAGATAGATTAGTAGCTAAAAATGATGCACTCCAAAGAAGCTTATAAAATGTATATATATAAATTATTTAAAAAAAGGTTGAAGAAAAGATTAACAAAGAGAAAGAACCAGGAAGTCCTACAGATAAACTTCCTTTAGTTGATACAAAAGCTAACACTAAGAAAGCTTCTACTAAAGCCAATACTCCATTCCCTCCTGATGATAGACCTAATCCTTATGCAGGTACTTAAATAGAACCACAAAATTACAGAAATGCTATTTAAAATAAAACATAAAAAGGACATATGATGGCAATATCATCTATGGATATGCATCCAAAAAAATCAATTGTTGCTACTGCTTCAGATGATTTCACTTGGAAGATTTGGACTTTACCATAATGTGAATTAATTATGTCTGGAGAAGGCCATAAAGATTGGGTTAGTGGAATACATTTTCATCCTAAAGGAAGTCATCTAGCTACATCATCTGGTGATTGTACAATTAAAGTCTGGGATTTCATTAATGCTTCATGTACTCATACATTTAAAGATCATATTTAACCTGTTTGGGGTGTTAAATTCAATGATACTGGAGAATTCATAGTAAGTGCTAGTATGGATCATACATGTAAAGTATTCGATTTAGCTTCTGGTAAAACTAGACATACATTTAGAGGACATGTATTTTATTATATTTATTATTATTAAAGGTTGATTCTGTTAATCATGTAAGTTTCTAACCATTTTCTAATATTTTTACATCTGCTTCAGCTGATAAAACTATTTCATTATGGGATATTAGAAGTGGATTATGTGTTTAAACTTTTTATGGTCATTTGAATAGTGTTAATCATGCCACTTTTTCATTAAAAGGAGATAGTATTGCCAGTTGTGATGCTGATGGTATTATTAAAATGTGGGATGTAAGAATGGTCAAAGGTAGATCACAATTTGATGCAGGTCCTTATTCTGCTAATGCTGTTGCTCTTGATAAAAGTGGTACTATTCTTCTTGTGGGATCTGATGATCAATAGATCAGACTCTATAATGAAACCACATAGAAAGTATTATCTTTATTTACTTATTAATTAGTAAGAACATACTCTGAAAGGACATGAAGATGCTGTCTAAGATGTTGCATTTGATTATAATAGTAAAATGATTATTAGTTGCGGTTCTGATGCTACTTTTAGAATTTATTAATGATTTAATATATTATAAACAAAATGTATATTATTTATTCAATTTTACTGATGCTTTACTTATATCCTCAATAATTATTAATCTTTTGTTGTTTCTTTATTCTTATTTTCATAAACTTGAAATTTTACTTTGTGTACTTGAATTCAATTAATTATTCAAATCTGAAATATTTAAGAAAATCCTTAATTAATTATTCAATTCAATCATTAAAATTTAATGAATTAAGTTGTAGAGACTTTTTAAAGATTTGATATCTTCGGACAAGAAATTAGACTCTTAGCCACAGGCAAATCAGCTTTTCGAACAAACATAGGTGCATTTATGACTTTGACACTCTTAGCAATTCTTGCTTATTCTTGTAATTCCTTTATTTTAGAAATGAATAAAGGGAAAAATGCAATTCTTAATTCAAAAGAAGCTGTAATTTCTGGTGAAGAAGTATATAAACTTAGAAAATTAATTAGGGTTATACGTTTAATTCTTCTGAACTTATCTTTGCCGTAGGACTATTAGATAACTTGGGATAACCTATTCCAAATGAAAATAATAGAGTATTCACTATAAGTTTCTATTATTGTAACAAATCTCTAACTGAAACTGAGTGTGTATCTATCCCAGGAACTATATGTGGTAACAGAATAAAAGATGTTTCAATAGTAAAAATATCATAAAAATCTTAGTAATTAAACATCCCCAAAGAATATGAAGATATTACATATTGTATGGATGAAGAATATATTAAATAAAACCCAGAAATCAAAATTCAAGGTTCAACCAGATAAGATAATTTCACTTTATTGGGAGCATTAGTCTAAAGATGTTAGAATAGTACAGAATATAATAGTAAATTTATTAATAAAATTAGATTGTGCATCAAATGATGATATAGATTAATATATTAAAAATGCTAACCTTTATTACTCTTATTCTTTTCATTAATTTAATAAAGAATTAGATGATTCCCCTTATGAGAATGCACAAAGTATAGATGTTACACCCATGTACTATAAAGTTCGAAAATATATAAAAATCTATTTCTAATACTCATAAAGTTAATTAGAATATAATCCTTTTTATTTCTTTCCTTCTTATGCTTAACATGATGGCTTTGAATATTTAAATTCTGCAATTGATTCTGCTTTAAATTTTGAAGATGATAGTAGTTTTGCTTAAATAGAAATTAATTTAGATGCAAAGAAAAGAATTCACTATATCACTTATTAAACATTAATGGATGTAGCTGCTAAAATAGGTGGATTTTTTACAATAATTAGAATTATTTTTGATATTGCACTATTTCCTATCTAATCAATACTTTATCGATTATATTTGATTAATTATTTAACTCACCAATAAAATAACATTAATAATAATAACAATTCTGATACTCTTAAGAATAAATCATTAACTTTTTATAGTCTTATAAAATCAGGACAATCAAGATAATTATATCTAAATTAATCTTTAATGATTGATAAATTTTTGGATATAACAGAAATTCTTATTAATCCTTTAAGATTTACTAGGCAAGTAGAAGATTTATATGGTTCAATTAAAAGATTTGATATTTTAAGTGCTCGTCAGAATAATATTAATATAAATTAAGAAATTGATGAATTGGTGGCTAATAATAATAATAATAATGAATTAATAGATTTGAAAAGTATGAGTCCTAGAACTATAAATTAAGAAATATAATTTGGAAGTCTAACAAATTTTAAAGTACCTTAACTTCATGTAAATTGAATCTATATTTCATTCTAATATTTATAAAACAATATTAAATTAAAGTCATTTTAATAATTAATTGAGTAATTCTTATGCTAGATAAGTTTTTGAATCTATTTCTGATTTTATTAATTAAATTTGTGTTCTCAATACATTTTCTTTAAAAACTTATTAATTAAGTATCACATTAATTGAGTTGATTTCTTCAATCTATTCAATTTATCTTATATACATAATAATTTTAATCCATTTATAAAAATATATTGAAACTTTATTTTTTAATCTATCATCTACTTTTTGAAGATAAATCAATATTTTAAAAATACTTCTATTTCTACAATTCTAAGATTTTGTAGATAATGAAACCTTAGAATTATGGTTACTTATTGGTGATTTAGATCTTGATTTTTATTTATTTTCCTTTTAATAAACAATATTATTTTATTGAATAACATTTGATTTAAATGTATTCTAATTTGTATTATATTTAGATGTGCTTGCATAATTCATTAAAGCAACATTCCTTATAAATCTATGAAATGCTATAGTTTTTATTAATCTTTCTTTCCTACTTGTATTTTTGAATAATTATATTAATATTAATTTTTGTCTATATTAAAAGAAGTTTTTCCTTTCCAAATCAAAAATCTATTCCTCAATATATTTTCGTTATTTCTTCATATTTCTATATGGATAACGCTTTTGTTTTTCTAAATCCTTTCTTTCAATTTCCCAATTTTTTTCAAATATTTCTTAATTTTGAAAATATTTCCATATGTAAAAATAAAAACATTTTTTTGTTTAATATGTTTAATCTTCTTATCTACTATAATATTTTAACATAATTGTTATTAATTTTTGAATATCTTTTTAATCATATTACATTTAATAAAATGATCTATCATCATCTGATTCATGTAAATTTTTCAAATGATCATCCATCTCTTATATTATATCTCTTTATTCCATTTACTTATTAAATTCATATTTTTTCAATGCAATTTATTCTGCTATATTCATTAAATTTAATAAATATAACTTAAAAAACCATAAATCAAAATCAGAAATCCTCCTCATCATTAAATGATAATGAACCAAGTCTTTACTCTTTACTCTTAATAGGAAATTATGTTTAACCAAATCCCTTAAATCCCGGTTTCTTCTATTTGATGCTTCCAAAAACTACTTTACTTTCTTAATTCATCAATAATTCTTATTATTTTTGTTACTTTTCAGCCTCTATTTTATCTAATTAATCCTTCTCCTATTAATGTTTCAACTCTGCAATTTCTTATCTAGCATCTCTATAAAAATGAGGAGCAATTTCAAATAACCAATGAGGATCAAGTTCAGTTACATTGTGCATAGTTAATTTATGATCTATTAAATTATCTTATTGATATTACTTTATTCAATTAACTCATGATAAATTACCCATTCAGGATATGAAACTGTCAAAACAGAAGCAGGATGTAAATGAACTAATTATTTTGTATAGATATTCTTATAAACACCTTCCCTTGCTGTATTTTCTCTTTGTGCAACTTAAGAGAAGAAACCAGAAACAAAGCATCTTAATACAGCTTCAACATCTTGGATTGAACTTTTAATTTATCTATTTTTCCTTCTTTTTTGAATTTATTTATAGATTTTTCCAGCTGATTCTAATTTATATTTTGATATTCTATATGTATCACACCAATTCCCTTTATTTCCAATATTAATATATCTAACAAATATGTTATGAAGTGATAACACATCTCCTTCTTTACATCCCAAAGCTTTCTTAGCTTTTAACATCTATAATGGTGTAGCATCACTACTAAAGATACCTCCTTAAATACTGAGAACACTGGCAATTTTTAACATCTCATCTGAACATTAATATTCATCCAAGAAACTATTTTCAACACAAACTGCTAATTATGTTTCTAATGGATAATCAACTATTGCATTTCCTAATTCTGTTAATGAAAAGTTTTCATCAATTAATTTTAAACTCATCAAAGTATTAATACAATTGATTAATTATTCATTAGAAACAGGAGTCAAGAATGTATTACCACATTATAAATGATTTGGTGTTAAAGAGAATGACTATAAATAATATATATTTGATATATTTACTCTAATTTATAAAATGAGTTCTGTTAGATTAGATCTCAATATTTCTGGTGGAAAAGTCTTAGGTAAATTTTAATAATCCTCTTTAGTACATAATCTATAACATATTCCATCTCTTGTTCTTCCAGCTCTTCCTGCTCTTTAAGCACCAGATTGTTAAGAAATAGGTAAAACATTTAATTATTCCAAATCTAAGTTTTTTACATAAATTATTAATACTTCTCTTATAATCATATACTTTTACTTTTTGATAACATGAATCAATCACATATACTATTCCATCAATAGTAACACTACTTTCTGCAACATTAGTAGATACTATAATTTTTCTACTTGCATGTTATTTAAACACTAACAATTATTTATCAATGCCTAAATTAGCATGTAATGGTAATACTACACAATTAGTCTTATGATGTGACCATAAATTAATAAATGCATGTATTTCTTCAACAGATGTTAGAAATACTAGTATATCTCCATCAGGCATCTTTTTATGAATATGATATGCCAATTCAACAGAAGCAACTACATAATTTTTACATGGTTCAAGTAAATACATAATCTAAATATGATGTACATTATAATTACATCAACTTCATAATTCCTACCTCTAATTGCTATTATTTTGCTATTAGGAAAAAAGTTTTATAATAAATCAACTTCCATTGTTGCAGATGAAACTATCACTTTCAATTCAGGTCTCTTTTTTTGAATCTTCTTAATTAAACATAATAAAAGATCTGTATTCAAAGTACGTTCATGAATATCATCAAGCATTACAACTGAATATCCTTCAATTAATGGATTGCCCATTATAATTTAAATCAATGTTCCATCAGTCACATATTCTATCTTTGTATTTTCACTCACTTTCGATTCAAATCTCACTCTATAACCAATATCTTATCCAAATTCAGTTCCATTTTCATCAGATACTCTCTAAGCAATACTAATAGCTGCCATCTTTCTTGGTAATGATACTAACACTCTCTATTCTCCACCATAACCAGCTTCTATTAAATATTATGGTATCTCTAATATTTATTAATTATTATGTACAAGTAGTTTTGCCTGATCCTGTTTCAGCTAAGATGATCAATGTACTATTAGTATCGATTCCATATAAAATTTATTCTTTATATGCTCTAATTGGCAGATTTTATGGATGACATTTTTTAGATTAAATAAGCATAATTAAAATAAACAATTCATTATTCAGGTACTACACTGAATATTTTCAATTCTCCATTATATTCTCCTGCAATAAATTTCTAAGTAACCATATTTTCATTAGTAATTTCAATCTTCTTCATTTACATCAATTTCAAATTCAAAATCACTTTTATTGAATATAATTTATTATCAATTTCTGTATAGATCTCAACAGAATCACTAAGTCCAAGAATAAACAATTTATCATTTTCATAACTTTTTATTAATTCTAAACAAATAACTTTTTCTCCATTATAAATAGGTCCAATTATCTCTAATTTCTCACTCAATATATATATTGATGTTTAATCATCGTCATCCATCTTCAAAATTACTCTATTGAAGTCTATAATCATTTATGTACATTTCTAAGTAAATTTAAATGGTATCTCAGTAATAATGATTCCATCAAATAAATATAGTTAACCACTTTTCATTCCAATTAAATAATTACTTCCAACTTTAATTACACTCTCCATACATTATTCAACGTTGTAATGTTAAATATACTTGAATTATCCTATCACATTCTATTAGAATATTCTTATCAAACCATCTTTACAAAATGTATATAGTAATCCATCCTCAAAATTTGTATAAACTATTTCTTTCATTGAAATATCAGATATTATCTAAGGAAACTACTGTTGAAACACATTATGAAATATTAATAAATTCTTTAATGATTCCTCCTCTTTTTAAAATTGTATCACAAGTGTATATACATTATTTTAATGCTCTTATATAAATCCAGATATAAATTATTTATCTAAATGACTAATTGTTACTTTCTTTTCTTCATCTATTATTTCAATTCCACTTCTTTTAAATAGAATTTAATAAAAATCAATTGAATCTGATTTTAAAATACCTAAAAATTAATAATTATATCCTGCTATTTAAATAAGATTATCTATATTTTTCTTTTATTCTAAATTTAACACTTAATACCTTTTCTTTACTTAAATTTCATTCTTTTTTACTTTCTTTATTATACTAACAGTTTCTATTTACTTTTCACTCTAATTTACTCTATATTACTCTTTCTCTTCATCTTATATTTCATGTCTTCTTGTAAATGTATTTTATCTATCTCCTCTTCCTCTTCCTCTTCCTCTTACATTAGTATTTTAACGAAATTATTTATAATCATCTTCATTATCTATATTTTAATGTTTTTACCACCTCTCAGAATTAACATTATTTCTCTCTCTATTTACAAATTAATCAATCTAATTTTCCTATTAATCCAAATTTCGATCCTATTTCTATTTTATTTATCTATTTTCATTCCCTTCCAATTGTTTTCTAAATTTTTAGACATTTTTTTATTCATATGAATTCTTTTATTATTGCTATCTCTATTTATACTCAACCCTTTCACTTTTTTCTATTTTATTATAGTCTTTAATTTATTCCTCATCTTGATATCTATCTAACTATCCTCTTCCTCTGCCTCTAACATTTTTTCTGTTTTATGATTAATAATCATTCTTCAAATTCAATTTTCCCCTCTCATCTCTAACTAAATCAACTTTCTCAATATTTGATGTATCATGAGAATATTTACATTGATCTCCTTCTCTACAATTTCCTTATATATAAAATCTGCATGGAGCATCAAATTTAGCATTCATATATATATATATATATTTGTTAATAAATTAATAATAAATTTTCTCATCACATAATAGTTTTGAAAATGATAAATTTTTTCAAAAATATAGATCATTATAAATTGCACTTATATAAAAAATATAACAAGATTGCTTTAGAAATTTTTTCATATCAAATAATTCTACTATCATTAAAAAATTGATTATTTTCTAATTCTTTTTAAGAAATAGATGACTAAGTTATTAATTCTAATTTTTTGTTTAACTGTAACAAGTAAAATATTCCCAACTTAAAGTCGATTGATAATATATTAATATCATAAAATAGAATATTTATTTTATAAATGAATAATAATGAATTTCTGGTTAAGCAGTTTGAAGTATTAAAAAAAGATGCAACAATAGCAATGTAATAGTTAGCAAGTAACTTTGTTTTCTAATTTGTTAGAGGATTATAATAATGTTTAATTAGTGAATCTAGCAATTGAATTAAATTCATTATTAAGAAAATATGAAGTTGAAAACAATAAATTAAGAAATGAAATAGATCAATAATAACAAAAGACTACTTCAGATACACGTATATAAGAGTTATAATAAAATTTGGATGATGCAAACAATCGATATTATAATCTTTTTGAGCAATATTAGAAATCTTAGAAAGAGAATGAGAAGATTGAAAATTAAAGAAAAAAGCTAGAAAAATAAACAAACGAATATATTGTTACTTTAAAGTAATAAATTAATGATCGGCAATCAAGATTATTTTAAATTTACAAAGAAGATTTAAGTCAATATGTAGATAAGGATCCTCTCTTTCCTCAAAATAAATAATACTAGAAAGAATTTGAATATTTTAAAAAGAGTTTTAAAGAGGTTTCAGTTTAATGTAGTTTCACAATCAAAGAGATTGAAAAATCTATAAAATAAGCTAAAGAAGAGTAAGTTGGTAATGATGAAATATTTACCTAAAACTTATAATCTTATCAGAATGTTTTAACTAAAAATATGGAGGCAAAATAAGTTTTAGAAATGTTGATAAAGAAATTTGCCGATTTTAGATAATAGTCAAATATCACCGATGATGAAACTAATAATATATTGGATTAAAATGGAAGAATTTTATAGATATAAAACGTAATCATGAATAAACTTCATGATATTTTTAAAACAATGTATGAGAATTTGGTATGTCTTGAGAAAAAAAATAAAAAATTATAACATGATAATAATGAATTAAATGAGAAGATTAAGAAGTAAGCCTAAATCGATAAGTAAGAGATAGGAAATTAATAACCAATTATTCAATCAATAAAATAATCATCAAATTTGAACAATATGGGGTAAAGTCAAAAAAATCAAATATTTGGTATATATTAATTATAATTTAGTAAAATTTAATGAGCTTAGGAATTTATTGAAATTTTCTAATGATGAATTTCATCAAATTTTACTACAGTTTGTTTCTTAAGGATTAACTATTGCCGATTTTAAATTGAAATAAGAGGGTTAAAAATAAATAGTGTAAATGGTTAATAATTTGAAATCATCCATTTAAGATAAGAAATCTATAAGTTTTTAAGAATTAATAAACGAGTTTTTAAAGTTCTAATAATTCTTCAATTATCTAAAATAATAGATAAATGAAAAAAATAATCTGATTGATGTATTTAATATTTAAGATAAATTCTTCAAAAATTATGAGAAGACCATAAACCATTTTGTTGAAATTGAGAAAATCTATAATTTAATTGATTTGGGTATTTAACGATGAATAGATGAAGTAAAATGGTTAATGAATTAAATACATACATAAATAATAACTAATTATGATATGAAATTCAATAGTATTCAAAATAAATAATAAAAAAATATATATATAATGATATCTGAAAATGAGAGTACTAGAGTTTTATTGGCAATTGTGTAGAATCCTTAATCAATTATACTTCCTCATTCTTTATTCTATCGATATTTTTCAAATTATGGAGAAGTTAACAAGATATTAATATTTGAGAAAGGAAAGTTATGGAAATGTTTTATAGAGATGGCAACTTTATAATAGGCAAAGATTTCATAATAATAATTAAATGGCTGTTAATTGTATGATTAAACAATAATGAATGTGTAAAATAATCTAAATGATTTATAGTTACTATTCAACATTACAGAATGTCACATTTCTGAATAATAATTCAGGTGGTGTAGATTATAAGGCAATTAAATAAAGAAATTCAACCCAGACTTTAAATCTTTATGAATAAGATTATTATCCAAAGACATATAGTCAACCTTTAATAACTCAATAAGATAAGAGATTAAGTATGGCCAGTTTTGGTGAAAGAACAAGAGCTAGCTTAAATGATAAATAAGATTTTCAAGATTATATAAATGAATGGGAATCTTCAAAAATATAAACATCGCTGGAATTTATAGATGATAATGATTCTCCTAGAAATAGAAAATATGCATCATTTAAATCAATTTAATTTGATGATAATGAACATGATCCAATAGATGAAGATATAATGCATGCATTCTCATCTGAAAAGAATACTTATCTAAATTCTTATATGTTTTCAATACCAGAAGTAGAAGATAAGATTAAGAATTAAGATATTGATCCATATACATATGTATCACCATAATTCTTAAGAGAAAATTAACCTTCCAAAGTTGTTTATATGAGAGGGTTAATGAACTAGAATATTACACCATTAAACATATTTAATTTACTATCAAATTTTGGAAATGTATTAGTAATTATTCATATCAAACATAAAACATCAGCATTAGTATAATTTGAGAAATTATAACATGCTTAAAATGCACTTGATCATCTTAATAATTAAGTGTTTTTTGGATATAAATTAAAGATCTTTTATTCAAATTATTAAGAAATTCAATTTCCTTTACCATTCCAATCACCTTAAACTTAAGTCTTTATGCCAATTCCATCTTAATTTAGATTTAGTGATGGAAAATCAATATCATTTAATCCACCTAGTCAAATATTACATTTGAGTAATATCAAAGGAAAGATGTGTGAAGATGAATTATATATTAAAGATATTTTTAAAGGAATAGGAAATGTTTAAGCTATCAAATTTATACATATTGACAAGTAAAATAATATATATAGTATAGATAAAAACATATGGCATTAGTAAGATTATCATCATTAGAAGAAGCATTGAATGGAGCAGCTTTACTTCATGGAAAAGAATTTATGGGCAGAAAGATCAATGTTTCATTTACAAAAAGTAAATTATGCTGAAATTTAACAGAGTCAGCTTTTGCTCAAGTATTATGACTTTCTAAAACAATATAATTATTAATTATCCTTTTTTTATATATTTCATGCTTTTACACCAGATGATGTGAAAATATCTTCAGTTTTCTTTTCTACTTCAGGTTCAAATTAACATAATTATAAACTTCTTTAGAATTGACTTATTCTTTTAATAATTCTAGAATGTAAATAGGTCTTAGAAGCATGAATATGATAATGTAAATATTATCTAATTATAATTATAAATATTATAATTACCTAAATCCTTATAAAAATGTAGATAATTATTCTATATTCTTACTAAAATGTTATGCCTTAAATAATGTCATTGTTATTAATTATGAATTTGGATCCACTTTGATATTTTAAACTTCTGGAAATGCTGATTTTAATATAGATGATTAATAATTAGATCTTGAAATAGGTGGTGCCATCTTAACATTTTTCTTAGCATCAATTATCTCTGTAATTATTAAATTAGCTAATGTTTTATCTACATTATCAGAAAATGATATTTCATAGAATATATTCAAAGCATCTTAATCAGGAATAGCATAAACAACTTCATTCTCTCTACTTTAATATTTAAATTTAGAAGCTGTTTGTCCTTTATTGATTTGATCAAATGCCTATTCAAATGCAGATGCATAAAAATTTCTTCTTATTTATGAAAAATCTTTAGTGACTTTCTCAAACAATTTCTAATTTTCTGCTCTTATCTATAATTTAATTTCTTAAATTTCAGCTTTTTCTGCTTCAGTTGCATTTTTTTGAATCTTAGGTTCTTCTTTAGCTGATTAAACATTAAATGAAAATGTCAAATGAAATCCAACATCTGGATCTTCTTTAGTGTAATCTATAATTTATAAATAATTAATTACCCTTATAATATTTATCAATCATGTAATTACCTGCTATACTGAATATCTCATTAAAATTAAAACAAGTAAATGATAAAAATAATCTACCATTTTCCTTATATTACAATTTTGTGCATGAATAATTGTAATCCTTTGCAACCACAATTCTTGGATCCTTTTTCCTAAACTCATTATATATATAATTACATGATTAAATCCATAATCTATGTTTAAAGTAGCTTATTCTATGGATCTATGAGCATCATTTGTTTTTTATTATTTAATTAATTATATTATATTATTGATGTATAATATTTATTTTAATATTAATTAGTTATTTTAATATATCAATTAGTTTATACGCTCATTTCAATTTCTTTCTTAAATTTCTTAACATTTTCTTTATATTCTTAAATTATTCCTTTAATTTCTACTATGCTTTCAACAGATTTTATGATATATTAATTAACTATTGAATTATTAGGAATTCTTTTATAAATCTTCTTAAACAAATCAATACTTCTTTACCATTTTTATTCTTAACTATCATCATCATTTTTAATGTCTTGATTATCAATACTATTGATAAAACTTTATATATCTTGTAATAAATCTTGATCTGGGGAAATATTTGAGACTTCATTCACATTAGGAAACAATATTAAAATTAAATTTGAAAATCTATTTATTTCCTTTTTTACTTAATCATTGAATTCTTTGAATATATTATTATATTTATCTAATTAATTTAAAAATAATACTTGATATATTAAGGCATTATTTTACAATCATTTAATTTGAAAGTAATTATTATTCTTTTTTATTATACTCCTTCAACTAATTGATTTAATCTTATAATTATTCTTTTATTTCAATATTTTCCTTCTTGAGTTTTCCCAATAAATCTTCAAGTTCTTTATTTTTTTCTTGTTATTGAAAATAGTCTTATGAAATTTGATCAAGTATCTTTAATGTCATATTTTAAACATTTTAAATGTAAACAAAACATTCTCTGTTCTAACTTAATTTTTTTAATAAATCTTAAATTGCTAAATTGTTTAAATTTTGCGGATTCAAATTTATCTTATCTACAAATTTTTTTATTCCTTCAACATATTTATTTATGGAAGTTTATGATTCTTTAATTAAATTGATAATTTATTTAAAGTCATTTACATCTAATGATTAATTCTTCATATTTTGTTACACTTTGTTTTCTGATTGAATGTGTGAAAATCTTGCTAATGTTTCTTACATAAGTTCTATTAATTACTATCTCTAATTATTAATATTTATTATTTGCTCCCTAAATTATTAACAATCTATTTCAATGTTTATAGAATTTTAATTCACAGATTTTAATTGATTCTCAAAAAGGATTAAACTCGTTTTTTTATTCTATTGTGTATACTTTTATTGAAGTTAATTTAAATTATTAATTTATGTATAATTTTGTTCGAATAATTGATTATTTATATTACTTAATCTATTATAATTTGTCATCAATTATTAGATTGAATCTTCCAAAAAATAAATTTTTTTTTACAAATTATCAATTTAATTCTATTAACCATTTAAATCATTATTTGGCTTATCTTCAGATTATTTTATTATATCTACCCTAACTCTATTCATTATAGATTATATCATTTCGAGATCATTTAAACAAACCTTGTCAAATTCCCCTCCTTGACATTTCCTCCCTGATAAACTTAACAGATTAGTAATAGCACTTCTTAATGTTGTTATTGAATCTTGCAGATTTTTATTTTATTTTTGAATATCTTAAAAGTAATTGTATAAATCATAAAGCTCTTATGCGACGTCAGTGGATCTCATTTTAACTAATTTATCTTGATAATAAAATACCTAATAAAGCTGTGGCAGAACCTTTATCTTTCAATAAAACAGTCTCAATTGAGGCATTCATCTTCCAAGATTAATTCATAAAAAATAAATAATAATCTCAATTTGCAGATTTAAATATTTATATTGCTTTAATTTAAAAATATATTCGTTGATATTTTGAATTTTAAATTCTTATTTTATTATTTTTTAAATTGAATTGAGTGATATACAATAAGTTAAATAGTTGTAGTATATATGGATTTAGTGTAAACACTAAATTGGATTTAATCAAAATGTTATTAGATCACTATGAATTTTATATTTATTATTTCTACATTTCATTAATTAATTAATAAATTTTCATTATATAAATTTCTATTTTATTTTAAGAAAAAATAAATAAGGATACATTTATCATGAATATTGAATTTATATAATAAATAAATAAATGCGATCAAAATATGTTAATTCTTATATTCATTTTTTTTAGTATTAGAATTAATTTAATCCTTTGTTATACTTTCATAATTATTTTATGTTCATGAAATCATTAATAAATTTATATGTTTCTTTTACACAATCATATTAATTTTTTATTCTATTATTATATTTATTTTTTAGTGTTATGAATATTTTTTGATTATATTAATTTTATTTATATTAGTTTATTTAAATACCTCCTATCTATTTTATTACATTTTTACATTAACTTTAGATCCTATTTTAATGTTTATGTTCGAAACAAATATTTCATTTTATTAATCTAATATCACAATACATTTATTTGTCATCAGTCAATATTGAATTAAGTATTTAGAATCTATGGATCCTATTTAATAAATTCAAGTATATATATATATGAAAAATAATATTTATTGTAATTAAATGTATATAATAAGAAAGACATTATAAAATTTATGATAATGTTTTGTATCATGAAAAAGTTGTTTAAAATAAATTAAAATGAATTCATTGGTTTATATTTATTCATTATTAATTTCAACCAATACTTTTATATATAAATTATAGTTTATAACTCACAAATTTTTAATTAATTATTCCACACATTAAAATAAATTAAAAAATGTCTAAAATCACAAAACCCATTTAAGCACCCAACAAATTTGTTAAAACTAACCAAGGTGCACCAATAAAAAAACAAGACTCTGATTCTGATGAATTGAGTGATGTTCCTCCTCCCCCAAAAAAATAATAACAAAAGGCAGTTGTTGGAACAACTAAAGTAGTTGCTAAAGCACCACAAGTAGATTCAGATGAGTAAGATGAACCAGTTAAGTTGGTATAAACAGTCAAAAAAGGCAGTTTTGATGCTACAAAGTCAAACACCACAAATTAAAATGTCCCTAAGTAGACATAAAAGAAGCCTGTATAAGAAGATGATGATTCTGATGATGTTCCACCTCCTCCAAAGAAGGGAGCAGTCGTTTAAAAAAAGCCTGTTAAATAATAGGATTCTGATGAGGAATCAGATGATGTCCCTACTCCCCCTAAAAAAGTGACAGCCCCAGTTAAACAAGCTACTAAACCAGCTGTTTAAACAAAAGTCCCAGTTAAATAATAAGTTTAACAAGATGATTCTGATGAAGAATCTGATGATGTCCCTCCCCCAAAAAAACCTGTTGTTGCTGCTAAGCCAGCTGTTTCAAAGCCAGCTGTCTAAACAAAAGTCCCAGTTAAACAATAAGTTTAATAAGATGATTCTGATGAAGAATCAGATGATGTCCCCCCTCCTCCCAAAAAGACAGTAGTTGCCACAAAACCAGTAGCTAAACCAGTGGTCTAAACAAAGGCCCCAGTTAAACCATAAGTCTAAGAAGAGGATTCAGATGAGGATTCAGATGATGTTCCTCCTCCACCAAAGAAAGGAGTAGTGCCTGCTAAACCAACTGTTGTTGCTACAAAACCAGCTGCTAAGGCCCCAGTTAAACCATAAGTCTAAGAAGAGGATTCAGATGAAGATTCAGATGATGTTCCCCCTCCCCCCAAAAAAACAGTTTAATAAACTAAGGCTCCATAAAAGACTCAATAAATTGAATAAGAGGATGAAGATGAAGATGATGATGCTCCTTAACCACCAAAATAATAATAATAACCTTAAAAGCCAGCTCAATAAGCTTAATAAGGATAATAAGATCATGAAGTCTTTGTAAGGGGACTTTCATTTGATGCCACTGAAGATGATATCAAAGAATTCTTCAATGAATGTGGAAATATAAACAGTGTTAATTTGTTGAAAGGACCAAATGGAAACTCAAAAGGAATTTGTTTTGTTAGATTTTCTTCTGAAGATGCTTAGAATGCAGCTGTTGAATATAGTGGCTCAGAACATATGGGAAGAACTATAACTGTTGAGAAGACTAAACCAAGAGATTAAAGACCCTAATAAGGAGGTTAATAAGTAGGATCAGGTGAAAGTACAACCTGCTTCATTGGAAACTTAAGTTTCTATGCTACTGAAGACTCATTGTATCCAGTTTTTGAAGACTGCGGTAAAATTAAGGAAGTAAGAATTGCTAAAGACGCAGAAGGAAAGGTATAATAATTGTATTAATATTTTAGTCAAGAGGATTTGGATATGTTGAATTCTTTGATAATGCTTCAGCTCAAAAGGGACTCTCAAAGACCGGAACTGATGTTGAAGGTAGAGCTATTAGAGTTGATCTTGCAAATTCATAATAAAGAAGTGGTGGTGGTAACAGAGGTGATAGAGGTGGCTTCGGAGGAAGAGGAGGCTACGGCGGAAGAGGCGACAGAGGAAGCTTTGGAGGCGGTTTCGGAGGAAGAGGCCGTGGAGGTGATAGAGGATTCTCAAGAGGAGGCAGAGGAAGAGGAGGAAATTTAGATGCTAATGATATTGCTGCTAAAAAGGGAACTATTGCTGGATTTGCTGGAAAGAAAATGGCTCTATGATATTATAATATAATAAATCATAAATGTTTAGAAATTTCTAATTTTAATTTCTTTATAGTATTCATGAATAAATTATGAATTTTCATATAGAAATATATTTAATAATAAAATAGATTTAGGATTGATTTTATTCAATTGATTTAGAGGAATAATGGTATGTAAATTAAATAAATTGCATTAATTATAAGTATAATTCACAATTTTTATAACTTATCTATTGACTTATGTAAGTATTAATTGATATGTTTTAAGCGAGAAATTTCTAACTTTTAAGAATCAATAGTTTCTTTTTATTCTTTAAACTTAACTTCATAATCTTTGATTTTTTATTACAATAATTTTCTTTCTTCTAAATAGTTTAAATGATCATCTAATATTAACAATTGCTTTCTAATTACACTTTATTTATTGTTCTCTTCATCATTTTATATGTATTCTTATTATTATTTATCTTATTTATTCAACCTATTGATAATGTTTATGTTTACATATTCTTAAGTCTCTTGATTTCTTGATCTTTCTCTTACTTTTCTTCTTCTAAAGTTATCAATGCTGACTCATAAATCTATATTTTATTCTCTAAAATCTACTCTCTTTCACTAATTTATTTCTTTTCATCCACTTCATCTAAATGATCCAATTCTTGGTCTTCTTTTTCTTATTATTATGTTTGTTATTAAAATTCAGCAGAAAAACTAAAACGATTATCTTCTTTTGGTTTCTATAGTTATCTTAAACTTTAGTTAATAAGATTATTTAGACTCCTACTGGATTTAGATAACTCATCATGCATATCTAATAGTCTATTGTAAATGTCTCCTTGACTGAATGAAGATGATCTATGAGAAAATTTCATAATTGCATTCATTAAATAGAGAATTATAATAATATGAATCAGAGTTGTTTTTAACTTTTCTTTTCAAAATTCTCCAACCATTATTTATATTTTTATTACATTAATACAAATTAGAAATGTGCTTCCTCTATAGTTTCTTCTTCTGGTTCTTATGTTTTTTTCGAGATGTAGGATGTTTAAGAAGTTGGATTTATATTTATCAATTTTCTTTTAGCTTATTAAGTATTTTTTAAAACTGATATTTCATCATCAGTTCCTAGTTAATGATAGAATGACTCCAATACTGTGATTCTAGTTTTACGAGCATAAGTTTCTTAAATGTTTGTTTATTTTCTTATTTCTTCATGTTTTCCTGGTGTGAAAAATCTAGTATTTTTTAATTTAAAAGAGGGACTCTATCTTATTTGATTTACATCTTGTTATTTATTCTGACATTTTAAGTAATTAAAGTTACCAACAATTTATCTTCAGCAGAGTTTTACATAATCATTTTTGGAGTTTAAAAATTACTATTATTATCTAATCTTCCACACCTTATAACACTTCCACCTTTTCTATTGCTTTAAAAATATGGATTTACTCTTGTACCTACTATCATTTTTTTTTATTAATAAAATAAATATACATTGTATTTAACTACATTATTATCAATAATATTATATAGATGATATTTTGTTGTAGTTTTAATATTTTGAATTTATCTAAATTTATTTTATTGTCATCTAAATATGGAATTGATTATTTTAATAATATTAATCATTTTTTCTTTTATGGGCCAATGTTTTGATAGTTGTAGAGAAAGCAAATCAGATAGAGTTTCATTGGAATCCTAAAATAAAGTAAGCATCTAAGAAAAAGTGTATGATAATTATAGAAATAATTTTACTACTCAATTGAGTGAATTTAATGACAAAGAATAAACATAGAAAATTGATATTACTCATTTTAAATTAATAAAGACATTAGGAAAAGGAGCTTGTGGAAAAGTATTATTAGTGAAAAAAAAGAACAATAATACACAATATGCAATGAAAATAGTATCAAAATAGAGAGCCAAAGAGGAATATATTTAAGCAGAAAGATTTATATTATAGCATATTACACACCCCTTTATTACAAAACTCCATTATGCTTTTTAGAGTAATACTAAACTATATTTAATAATGGATTTCTGTTAAGGAGGAGAACTCTTTTTTCATTTGAGAAGAGCTTACAAATTTACAGAAGAATAATCAAAATTTTATATTTGTGAAATTATAGTTGCATTAGAACATCTACATAAAAATAAAATATTGTATAGAGATTTAAAACCAGAAAATATATTAATATGTTCAGATGGTCATATTAAACTTATAGATTTTGGATTATCAAAAATATTAACAGATATCAAAACTAGATCTCATTCAGTTGTTGGTACACCTGAATATTTAGCTCCTGAAATATACTAAGATGATGGATAAGGACATGATGAATAATGTGATTGGTGGTCTTTAGGGGCCCTATTATATGAAATGTTGACTGGAGCTGCTCCATTCTATAGTGTAGATAGAACTCTAATGTTTAGAAATAGATTGGAAAAACCCTTAGATATCAAACCTTGGTTTAGTGAGGAATGTAAATCTCTATTATAAGGTTTATTGAATAATGATGTAAATACAGGATTATATTATTTTTAGGCTAGTTAAAGGTTAGATGTTAATTAAATAAAATCACATATTTTCTTTAGGGGTATAGATTGGGAAGGAGTTATTTATAAATAATTGGAACCTCCATTAAAATTGGAATTGAAAGGACCTTCAGATTTATAATATTTTAATAGGGTAGTAAAATAAACTGATTTTAGATGTTTATAGATGAACCAGCTATAGACAGCCCTGAATCATTAAAAAATGGAAAGACATATGAGAATTTCAGTTTCGAAGAAGATGAGTCTTGATTTATCTATTTAATTTGATATAATTAATTACAAATATAGTTAAAATCATTATTAAAATCTGCTAGCACCATATCTAACTTCTAATCTAAGATTATCATCAATTGTTAATCCTGCACATACTTTAACTAAATTTTCAAGCATGGCTCTTTATCTTGATAGAGAATTAATAGTAGTGATTCCACTCTCTGATTTTGGAGCTTTCATTAAATAACTCAACCAAGATAAGACAGTGTCAAATCTTTAATATTCAGAAGCATCCTTTTAAAATTATATTCTCTCAAACAATTCACATAACAATAATAGATCCATAATTAATGGAGCAGCTAATAATGAGTCTTCACAAACATTGTAAACAGCAAAAGTTTATCTGCCTCCTAAGAAGATTTCAGCAATGTATTCATCCATAGCCTTCTTACTATCACCAGTTTCAGGACAGTACTTAATGACAATAGTATGATCAATGTTTAATTCTTCTTCTGTTGGATATAATACTTTATTGGATTCCAAAATATCATCAACACAAGTCTTCTTACTTCTTTCCTTGCTTTTGAAACAAGATTCTTATGAAAGATTCTTTCCATCATTGTTTCCTAAATGATTATATGAGATGATGGCTTTTGGTTTAATACCAGCACCTACTAAATATTCAACTAAACAAGTCTTAAATTTAGTTTATCCTGTTTTGAAATCATCTCCAGCAACAAAAACACCAGCTTTTTCTGCTAATTCAATAACACCTGGAACAATAGTATTTTAAGGTGATCCATTAATGAATGAACATCCTTCTAAACAAGCAGCACATGCAAAAATTGTTGATGCACTAATTTCTGGATGACTTGATTCAATAGATTTTAATAATTTTTCAGCTGTTCCATGAATATTTGGATCTTCAACACAAAATCTTTCTGTATTTGCTGTCCATAAGAGAATTACTTTATCCAAATTATTTTATTATTTAAAATCTGCAATATTCTTTCTAATTATATTAAGATGTTCTAATTTATTATTTCCTGGTATAACATTATCTGCTCTATCACCTTAATTTGCTGCAATAAAATCTGGATAATAGATTGAAGGCAATGGAACCAACTTTTCTAAATATGGTCTCAATTTTTATTGTAAATCATATTCAACTACTTATGCTCTATTCATTGCATCAGCTAAATTCATTGAACTGATATCCCATCCACCAAATACTATATCACATGGATTAACCATAGGTAAAACATCTTTGAATGGAACAAATACTTCTTCAGTATTGCATGTACCAATCTTAATGACACTACTTTATGTGAGTGAACCATAGAAATTTGGTTAATGTGTTCCTCTTTTACTATTCCATGTAATATTAAATTTATTTGCCAATATACCACCAGTAAGTGTTGTACCATTATTTCCACCCCATCCTACAAGCATAACACCTAATTTTGGAATTCTAGTGTCAGTCTTGAATTTGAAATTTGTAATTTATGGTTTAGCTATGTACTTGTCTCCATTCTTTTCAATGTTGGTTGATTTATAATCATAGTTGGAAATTAAGAAGTGATCATCTTATTGTGTAGTAGTTGATTAGACTTTCATTGATTGAATTAATTATTAACCAAATAAATACAAATTAGTATTTGTAAACATTTGAGTGCGCATAAATTTTACAAATTATTAACAAATGCGTATTTATTAATAAGAAGTGCGCACTTCATTAAAATAATTATAATTTAATTAATTATAAATGCGTATATAAGATAAATTATAATTATTAATATTGATAAATAAATTATAATTATTAATAATTATTAATACACATTTAATTAATTAATTTTAATATTATAATGATACTATTTATAGATAATTTATCATAAATAAATTAGTAGTTTAATTCTTTTGTTTATTTTTTAATTTATAAACCTTATAATCATTTTTAAAGATATTCTATTTTGATATATATGTTTTTTTATGAAAGATACATAATTCTTTTTTTATTTTTAATACAGTAGATTGTCAAATATTGAATTAAAGTAATCATATGATAATATATATATATAAAAACGGGTTAACTAAATCATGAATGCATAAGCATTAACTCAGCCTAATAGTTAGCTATCTGTTTGAGAAGTATTTCAGATGTGGGTAACTTTTTTATATTGTTTTAATTATATGCCTTGAGACAAAGATTTAACTTAATCATAAGCATGGTTCTTTTGTCCAAATATAATTTTTGATCTAAAAGATAGTCTAATTATGTAATATCATTAGTATTAATGGTTATCACAGAAGATTTAGAAGTTCTGATGTTGAATTAGTATAGACAAGGATTTTATGGTTTTTTTGGTTATTTGAGTACTTCTTATTCTTCATCATGAGAATTGGCTTTGGTTGTAATCAATGATTAAGGTGGAGATACTTCAGATGGCTTAATAACAGGAGGAGGAATGTATTTTATGGTCTTCTTGATTTTTATAGTCATGGCAGCTTTAATGATTTGTTAGAGAATATTAATGATACGCAATAGTCTTAAGAGAAGAGTGGCAGCATAGATAGTATCTGTATTAGTGATAATCTCTAAGATAACAAGGAGATCGAAGAACATGAAGCACCCATATATAAATTGAAGTGGATCTTGGAAATTACGAAAGTATTTATAAATATCTGGGGTAAGTAGTGAGGCTACTACATATCTCACCTAGCTAAGGAACACCATCATACCTTGGTGTCTGAGTAATTATTGTACTCATGAATGAGTGACAATCTCAATACTCCTTAAGCTGGTATTTTTTAAGGCAACCTTAATCTATCCAATAATAGAACATTCAATGTCAGTTCTACACTTCCCCAAATTAGTTCACTTAAGTTTCCCTCTATCATAGATCCGTTTTAATATATTAATAAATATTATAAATTATCATATTTTCCCTCTTGTAGCAAAGTAAAATGCCAATCCAGCCAAACAACCACCCAAATGAGCATCATGACCAATACCACTTCCATCACCTTATCCTGACCAACCTTAGTATAATATTAATAATCCCACTATCCATGCTGGTACAGGAATAAAGAACAATAATATTATTTCTCTAGGAAAATTGCAAATATAATATGTTAATAAAGCATTGCATGCAGCACTTGCACCTAATGATATTCCTGCTTATCTTGATTACATTAATCCTCCTACTAATGCTCCTGCCATATATATTGCTAATAATCTTTTTGATCCAAAATATGCTTCTATTGTCCTTCCAAAAAAATAAAAAGTCACCATATTAAATACTTAAAATTTCTAGAAATTTTTACATAAATGTAATGTATTTTAATGTGAAAATGAATATGTTATAAATGTATGTAATTCTCTTAAACTCATAGATCCTGGATGAAGAGTGAAATGATTATACATAAAATTCTAATTTATATTTAATAAACATTCACCTTGTCAACTGCAGGAAAATGCCATAATGCATATACACCAACATTTATTCCGATTAAATAAAAGTAAAGAGGCATTTATAATCTATCTAAAAATCGATCTACTTATCCATATTAAAATTGTGGCTTATGATTAAGTAAGTATGTTTGTTTTAATTATTATGGTGATTTTGATAATAATTTTGCTATTTTTATCATTAATAATAATAATAATATAATGAACAATATTTCAAATCTAATAGGATAACGACGAGATTCAAAAAAATCTAAATAGTCTCCATCTAATAATAAATAAACATCTCAATAAATTTAAATATATGATCAATTGAAGAATTCCTTAAAATGTGACTGTTAAAAACAAAATAATAAAGATTACACTCAATATCAAATATTTGAATATAAAACTTAAAAAGAACTTGAATTTTTAATGTAATATATCTAGTAAGCATGTATTCATAATCCTTAATGTATTCATGAATAATTATTTGAAAAAAATTAACAAAATAAAAAATTCAGATAATTATGCGATTTTCGAATTGATTGGACGAAACTTATTATAAAAGCTGAGAAACAATTTGAAAAAGCTATTGTCAAAAAATAAATGGCTATTAATTATTAACCTAATAATGATTGCTTCAAAATAATTATCTTAGAAGCTATTAATAATAAAGAAAACTCTCTTAAAATGCTTATCGATAAATCCAAATAAGAATTATAATTTATAGAATATGCTAAGAGATTAGCCATTAAGTTATAATAGAAATTGGATTGTCCAGAATCATTATTATGTTAATTTGAAGATGTGTAAAATCGTAAGAAATACATTCATCCTCCATCTATTTGGTCGATTATGAATTGTTCATGTAATACTACTAGTATAATTTGATAATAGTCATTTGCTCTTTAATTATTCTTTTAATTCAATAATTTCTTGTTATAACAATTTTATGAACTATTCTTAATGTGTCATTTAAGCCTTTGTGATTTCTTCTCTTATCTATTCTTACAATTAATTTTGTTTATTATTTTCCAATAACTAAGATGATTTACATTATAATTCAACTGTTAACTTTTGAATCATTATCTAAGAGTCATTCAATTTTATTATTAATTCATTTTTCTCTTATTTTAATTAATCCACTTAATTTAACATTATATAATTTTATTAATCAAAATGATCATACTAAAATTGTTATTACTCAATTGATGTTTCTAATTCATAAATCTAATTCAATAATGCTTAATTGTCATATTCTAATTATAAAATTCTTTCGCTTTTTTGATTCATCAATAACGTTAATTAATCCAATTCATTTATTAAAGTTTCCAACTAACCAGAGAATAATAATTTTTATCTGTATGCACTTTATTATAATTATTATTCATAAGTCAATATTTATTGCTTCAATTACCTGTTATTCATTATCTGTTCATCTAATTAAATTTGTAATCTTCTAGTCTTTTCTTTATATTGCTCTTCCAATTTACAGATGTAATTTTAAAATTGATTGACTTATGCTTTTAAATTTGATATTTCTGAGTGATAGAAATCATAACTTAATTCTATATGAGGTGTCTCTTAAGTACTTGAATTATGTTACCAATCTCTGACTGTATACTCTGACATAAGTAAATTTTAATTATAACAGCTAAATATTTTAATATATTCATGCATCATGTATTTTAATCATTTTTTTTAATACCAATAATTATCTAAGTTATCATTCTAGCACTTTAATGGATTTTTTCATTCTAAATTGACCTTTATTTGATTTAATAACATTGATCTCTTCTTCTGCCATTTCCATTTTTGTAGTTTAAGATCTTCTTTAATGATTTATAATTAGTATTCTGATTCTCATCAATATTTTAATACTGAATATTGTTAAAATTTTAATTGTTTTAATGTGAAATATAATATAACTAAATGTTTTCATAATCTTCTATTTTGTTTTGTGAAAATTTTAATACACATTCTGAAAGTATAAATATTCTAAATTCTCTACTTAGTTTAAATATTCATTTACTCAATAAACTTAGTCATTTGAAATAAAATTATATCATCACTAGCAATTAATGGTTTATATCAATATTATATTTTAAAAAATTATGGATTAACATTTTTACTATTTGATTAATAGAGATTATCAAATCAATTAAAAAACATACCTTACTTTAATCTTAATGATATTTAATAGTATTATTAATTATTATATTATATTATAATCATTATGCAATACAAAATTAAGACTTTTCGTAAATATAATATTGACAGATCAGGTACATTATAATAACAATCATATTAGATCTTTTTAAGATTACTTATCAATCCCCTTAAGAGTTGAAACCATCAACTTCTTGTGAAGTTAGGCGCTAATAATATAATAAAAAATTTACTACCGAAATTGAAAATGAAGATGATCCCCCAACTTAAATAATTGATCTATCCAAATTACCAAATGGATAATTTAAAGATAGAAGTAATATAAATATATATATATCTATTTTTCAGGATACATGCACACCGATGAGACATTCTTTGTTAAAATGGGAGGTAAAAATAGGGATCTAATTGCAGAAAAACTAAGATCTAAATAAATAGATAGATAGAGTCCATTCAAATTTAAAGGTACTTTTAATAAAATTGTTAATTTAGTTAGAAAATCCATTTTTCAATCAAAATTTCATCAAACAAACCCTTAAATTATAAAAAAATAGTTCTCCTATTTCATCTAAAACTATTCGAACATCACAAACTAAACTCTCATTTCTCTAAATAATTGATATCAAACCAGTCACTATTAAAGAATAATAATTAAGAAGAGCCTCCTCATTTACATCGGCAAAACAAAAGTTATTTAAGATTCTAACTGAAAAATCATGATATATAATTTTAGTTATAAAATAGTAAACTTTATCTGCTTCATCATTTTAGATAAACTTTATTAAAAATTATATAAATATTTAAAATTTACATTCCTCTTATTTTTAATCATTTAAATCATTAAAGAAAACAATTAATTACAATATAAGAAGATAATATAAATCAAATAAGTTTGTCTAATGTTTTAGCTTAGAAAATCTAAGATAGAAATATTAGTAATACTCTCTTAATAAGAACCAAATCCACAAAACTGCTAATATGAATTGTCTTCAAAAATTACATCTTTTATTTATATAAATATCTATACACAAGAATTACTTAATAAACAAGAATTTACAATATCAAACTATTAATCATTAACGGTAGAACTAAACATAAGCAAAGATATGTTGAAGAAATTTAAGTTAAGTATCTATTATGTGAGAAATAATTATGAAATAAAGCAAATTGAATGAGATGCACTTCATGTTTTGAACCAAACCATAGTAATAATGGTAATTATTTATTTTTTAAATTAAAAGGATTTGTTGCATTAAAAGAAAATAGTCAAGAAATAGTTGAATAAATATTTAGTAAATCATAAAATAATTTCAAACTAGTGGAGTATTATAAATTTATAGCTCTATTATCGAGAAATAACAGTCACAAGATAATCATAATTTATACTTAAAAAATCCTATATATATCTTAGATTTTCAAGAATTCTAAGACATATTTAAAAGATATGCTATTATTTACAAAAGTAATAACATCTAATAATTCAGATTGCAAAAAATGAGTGAATCATTAACTTGAGTAAAATTAGAAAGCTATTTTGTTTAACAATTAAAGATGGAAGAATTGTTAACTGTTATTTTTTTGAAGATTATACTTATTTTTTTAAAAGTAATTAAAATTTCATCCACATATCAATCGAACTAAACTAAAAAAATTTATTTAATTCAATGAGCCCATCAGAAGCTAAGAATTAATTATATCTTAATATCACAATTTTGCATATATATATTTTCAATACTGCTCAGTTAGATTATCTAGCTAAAATAATGAAATTAGAAAAGAAATGTTTTTCACTTGGGAACAGTAGAAAAAATATGAATTAGTAATAAATACAATAAATAATTATAAAATGAAATTAATAATATATTTTATTTTATTTATGTTTAATGAATAATGATTGTTAACTCATGCTAGTTATGCTGCATTAACTTTATTGCAAGTATCTTCTAATAAAGCTAAAAGTGTTTCTTCAGTAGATTCTCTATAATGATTATAATAATAAATAAAAACCTTTATTTCTTTTCATTATCTACTTCAGTTTTGATTCTATTAACAACATCTTTTAACATATCAAAGATTGCTTATTCTGATTCTTATCTATTAACTTTCTCTTAAACTAATAATTAGTTTAATTTGCTTAATTCTTCATTCATCTTTCTAGATATATTTGAATCCATTTCTTCTCTTTCTGCTACTTCTGTCTTTATAGCTTCATGTAATCTTGGTAAATCAGTTTCTAAACATTAATTCAATCTTTCAATATTTTCATTTCTTGTTCTACTTTCTGTACTTAGTTCACTTCTTATTAATCCTGTCTTTTCTTCAATAAATCTTATTATTTTTTATTCTCCATCTTTTCTTGTTGATGTTAATCCTTCAACTGCCTAATTGAATGAATTCTCTAAATCTATATATTCCTTTTATTTTTATTCAAAATGTTATTCTCTTTATAATTTTGTTTAATCCAACACTTTCTATAATTTCAATACACTATCTTTAATCAAAACTACTCTTTAACTTAATTATTCATTTAATTCATTCAAACCTGATTCCAATTAATCTAATCTTGTTTCTGATTCTTCAATTCTTTTAGTCTAAATATTAATAATTATATATTACTCTCTCTCCTTCTATTGTTAAATCCATTTAACTTAATTAAGAACTTATTTTTGCTACTCTTTCTCTTGATGGTGAATAATCTAATATATTTTACTATACAATACTTCTATTGTTTGACATATCTAACTGATTATTTGAATTAAAAGATAATATTAATATAAATAAATTTATTGCTAATTTATTTTGCTTAAATATCATTTTTAACGAGTTATCCTAATTTAATAGGTAGTTTTAAATTTAACAATTTTTTTCGATACTTTTTTTTTAACTAGTTGTTTTTAACATTTTGAGTCAACTCCTTAAGGTTAACTAAAGNTACAATAAATAATTATAAAATGAAATTAATAATATATTTTATTTTATTTATGTTTAATGAATAATGATTGTTAACTCATGCTAGTTATGCTGCATTAACTTTATTGCAAGTATCTTCTAATAAAGCTAAAAGTGTTTCTTCAGTAGATTCTCTATAATGATTATAATAATAAATAAAAACCTTTATTTCTTTTCATTATCTACTTCAGTTTTGATTCTATTAACAACATCTTTTAACATATCAAAGATTGCTTATTCTGATTCTTATCTATTAACTTTCTCTTAAACTAATAATTAGTTTAATTTGCTTAATTCTTCATTCATCTTTCTAGATATATTTGAATCCATTTCTTCTCTTTCTGCTACTTCTGTCTTTATAGCTTCATGTAATCTTGGTAAATCAGTTTCTAAACATTAATTCAATCTTTCAATATTTTCATTTCTTGTTCTACTTTCTGTACTTAGTTCACTTCTTATTAATCCTGTCTTTTCTTCAATAAATCTTATTATTTTTTATTCTCCATCTTTTCTTGTTGATGTTAATCCTTCAACTGCCTAATTGAATGAATTCTCTAAATCTATATATTCCTTTTATTTTTATTCAAAATGTTATTCTCTTTATAATTTTGTTTAATCCAACACTTTCTATAATTTCAATACACTATCTTTAATCAAAACTACTCTTTAACTTAATTATTCATTTAATTCATTCAAACCTGATTCCAATTAATCTAATCTTGTTTCTGATTCTTCAATTCTTTTAGTCTAAATATTAATAATTATATATTACTCTCTCTCCTTCTATTGTTAAATCCATTTAACTTAATTAAGAACTTATTTTTGCTACTCTTTCTCTTGATGGTGAATAATCTAATATATTTTACTATACAATACTTCTATTGTTTGACATATCTAACTGATTATTTGAATTAAAAGATAATATTAATATAAATAAATTTATTGCTAATTTATTTTGCTTAAATATCATTTTTAACGAGTTATCCTAATTTAATAGGTAGTTTTAAATTTAACAATTTTTTTCGATACTTTTTTTTTAACTAGTTGTTTTTAACATTTTGAGTCAACTCCTTAAGGTTAACTAAAGATAACTTGATTATAATTTATAGCACTAAAAATTAGATATCAGAAAAAAATTGTCAGTCAATCCTAATGATGATAATTGAATCATCCATTAAATTAACCGTTTAATTCAGGCCATTGGGATTATTTTTCATCTAAATTACATATAGATGTAAAAAATTTTCGATATTCTACAAATCATTTATGTAGTACAATGTTTATATGTCTTTTGGGAAAATTGATTATGCAATCACTCTGAAATAAATATCCTACCTCATGACTTTTTGAGAAAGATAATATCATGAAAGATCAAAATGATAAAAAATACAAGATAAACTAAATTTCTCTTAATTCACAAGTATAATTTAGTAAATTATAATTAATAACACTATTAAGGCTTTAATCTTAAATGAATGAAGAAATATGACTTAGAGTTGATTGTGTATTGAATTAAATTTAATTAGTAATATATATCAATCATATTTTGAGTAACTTCGCTATTTAAAGCTTTATTTTCCTTTCAATCCTGTTTTGGTAACAAAACTTGTTTTAGTAGTATCGAATTTAAATGAATATTCTTATGGCTATCGGCAAGGTTATTTGTATATAGTTTATTAATGTACTTAGTTTTTTGGGGAAGATTTATTGCTATGTACATTTATTGAAATCTTTTTCTATTAAACAATTTTGTCTTATTATTTAAGATTGATATCCTTTTCTTAAAATTCTCTCTTAGAATTTTATCTCCCTGTTTGGATTTGCAAATGCTTTTAGGGCTTTTCTGAAGAATTGAAATCAAGACGATTTCTTTAGATGATAACAGTTTTGTTAAGAGGAGAAGTTTATTTTTTTTAAGTGTTAGGTTTAGTAGAGGATAAATAAGAAGGAGGTTTTAAGCAAGCCCTCATTATTTCTTAATAATTTTTAGGAGGAGTATCATTTGGTTAAGTATTATTTGGGACACTTAATTATCGTAGAACAGTTTTTTCATAGAAATCATTAAAGAATTTTCCCTTTTTTCGAGTTCCATCTGAGTAAATTAATTCACCTTCTCCATGTTTTTTGTCGTTCATATAATATCCCTTATATGAGTAAGTTGAGCATCTATATTCTCCATAACCAGTTTTAAGACCATTTTTAAATTTTCCATGAAAATATGCACCGCTTGAATAAAAGTATTCTCCATCTCCTTCAGGTTTTCCATTTTAATACATTCCAACATATCTGTCACCATTAGCAAATAGTTCTTCACCAAAACCATGCTTCAAACTATCTTTAAATTCTCCTTNCTAAATATTAATAATTATATATTACTCTCTCTCCTTCTATTGTTAAATCCATTTAACTTAATTAAGAACTTATTTTTGCTACTCTTTCTCTTGATGGTGAATAATCTAATATATTTTACTATACAATACTTCTATTGTTTGACATATCTAACTGATTATTTGAATTAAAAGATAATATTAATATAAATAAATTTATTGCTAATGCTTTATCAATGTATAACTCAATATATTTTAAAATTCATAGAAACTTAATTGATTTTTTTACTGCATTTGGAGATAACACTTTATTTAGCAATACAATAATAACTTCAATTAGTTAATCGAGTCAAATACCAAAGTTAAGTTATTCTTTATCATTTTTGTTAGCAATAAATTATATTATTAATTGATTGCTATCAGATAAAAAAAAGAAGAGAATTATTTATTTTATATACTATACTCAGTATAGGGTCCATTACTATCCTAACACAAAATTATTATGTTTCATTTATTATTTAAAGATTTTTCTACAATGAAATTTAGTTTTCTTAACTAATCTTAAATGTTTCTTTTATATGTTTCTTCAAATGATAAAGGAGTTTTCTTTTTTTCTTTTTCTTTCAAAATATTGTTCTCCCTTTCTTTCGACTTAGATTTTGATTTAGATTATGTCAAATCTATAGATCTTCTTCTTTTTTCTGCACTTGCCTTGGTTTATTTCAAATATAATTTTTATTTTGGCTTAAATAATCTAATTTATTTGTATACAAAATACTATTTCTTGTGCTTTTCAAAAAGCTAATTAAAGTCTTTTTATATTTATGAATTAGCATTTTAATTATTATTATATTTTTAGATCATAACGATGCTTTCCTCACTTTTCAAATCTTCGTTCAGATTGTAATCAGGTTTATTTGTACCCATTTAAAATTACAATTAAGAATTTGATTATTATTGCAATTATTATTGCTATTCTAACTATTATTATATTTCAGTTGATGTCATTTATCTTTGTGTTTGTTGCTATTCTCCATTCAAAAGCTATAAGAGATCTAAATTTATTTATTTTTATTCATTTAATTCTTATCTTATTAATGATAACTATTAATTCATTGATTCTTGAATTTATTAATTCATCTAATAAAGATTCTATAAAGGAGAAGGATCTGGTTCTTCTTCAAGATGAACTATTTTCTTTTTTAAATCATTTTATAGTATTTGATTATGTAATTACATTAATGTATTTAATTGATTTGATATTTCGTCTCTATTACTAATTAGCATTTCTTATTCTCTAGATAAGTTCTAAATAGAATATCACTTGAATATATACTTATAATTAAGTTTGTAATTAATTTTTTTCAAAAGATAGCTATTACAATTCAAGTAAAAAGTTAGTCTTTTTTTCTTCTTCCTCTTATATAAGCTTTTCACTTTGTTCCTGAATATCAAGTAATTTCTCTTCTTATTCTTTAAGAATTGATATCTTTTATTCATTCAATTTTCTTTATTCTTCAATCTCTAAAGTTCTTAATAATGATTCTAATTCAAATTTTGCTTACTATTATTCTCTTAACAAATTGATTTATTCTTATTCTAATATTTATTATTCTCTATTAAGATGATCTAATTTTGATGATAACATAGTATTTTTATCATCATCAAAACTTTCTAATTTTTGAGTTAACAATTATAAAATAGGATTAGAAAGATTCAATTTCTATGGTGATTATTTTGGAATTGATTTTGCTTATGAAGAGTGTAACTAAGAATTTTCGGTTTGATTTAGTTTTCTCATTCTTTATTCAAATTCTTATAATTCTCTATCCAATTCTTATTTATTTTTGAGATGAGAATCCCTTTAATTAGGTTAAATATTAGGAGAATTATTTTTGTCAAGAATAGATAGTTTTTGTTCAAGTTGATTAATTAATTAATGAGTCTTAGACAACTTGAATTTGGATCTGTTTTCATCTTCTGATTCTTCATCACTCATTTGAAAATCAAATTAATTATTAATTATTTTTTATTCAATATAACATAAATTAATTAAATGATCGATAATCTGATAATATTAAGAATACAAAGTTATTAGAATAATACAAAGGGATATTCATATGAAGAATTAAAGTAGCTACCTAATTTTAATATTGTTACTTAAAAAAATAAAATCTATTTTGGATAGATATTCAATGGTTAAAAACATGGTAAAGGCGTACTCCTGATGGAATAAGACCATATATATGAAGGAGAATTCAATAATAATCGAAAACATGGGCAAGGTTGGGAAGTTTTTCCATCTAAATCTTTTTATAAAGGACTATATGTAAATGGAAAACCGGAAGGTTAAGGAAAATTTTAATGGGCGAATGGAGAATATTATGAAGGAGAATGGTTCAACGGCAATAAGCATGGATAAGGAACTTGGATGGGTTTAAAGGGAGATATGTATACTGGATATTGGATTGATGGTAAACCTAATGGAAAAGGTTAACATAAATGGATTAATGGAGATTAATACAAAGGAGAATTTAAAGATAGTTTGAAGCATGGTTTTGGTGAAGAACTATTTGCTAATGGTGACAGATATGTTGGAATGTATTAAAATGGAAAACCTGAAGGAGATGGAGAATACTTTTATTCAAGCGGTGCATATTTTCATGGAAAATTTAAAAATGGTCTTAAAACTGGTTATGGAGAATATAGATGCTCAACTTACTCATATAAGGGATATTATATGAACGACAAAAAACATGGAGAAGGTGAATTAATTTACTCAGATGGAACTCGAAAAAAGGGAAAATTCTTTAATGATTTCTATGAAAAAACTGTTCTACGATAATTAAGTGTCCCAAATAATACTTAACCAAATGATACTCCTCCTAAAAATTATTAAGAAATAATGAGGGCTTGCTTAAAACCTCCTTCTTATTTATCCTCTACTAAACCTAACACTTAAAAAAAATAAACTTCTCCTCTTAACAAAACTGTTATCATCTAAAGAAATCGTCTTGATTTCAATTCTTCAGAAAAGCCCTAAAAGCATTTGCAAATCCAAACAGGGAGATAAAATTCTAAGAGAGAATTTTAAGAAAAGGATATCAATCTTAAATAATAAGACAAAATTGTTTAATAGAAAAAGATTTCAATAAATGTACATAGCAATAAATCTTCCCCAAAAAACTAAGTACATTAATAAACTATATACAAATAACCTTGCCGATAGCCATAAGAATATTCATTTAAATTCGATACTACTAAAACAAGTTTTGTTACCAAAACAGGATTGAAAGGAAAATAAAGCTTTAAATAGCGAAGTTACTCAAAATATGATTGATATATATTACTAATTAAATTTAATTCAATACACAATCAACTCTAAGTCATATTTCTTCATTCATTTAAGATTAAAGCCTTAATAGTGTTATTAATTATAATTTACTAAATTATACTTGTGAATTAAGAGAAATTTAGTTTATCTTGTATTTTTTATCATTTTGATCTTTCATGATATTATCTTTCTCAAAAAGTCATGAGGTAGGATATTTATTTCAGAGTGATTGCATAATCAATTTTCCCAAAAGACATATAAACATTGTACTACATAAATGATTTGTAGAATATCGAAAATTTTTTACATCTATATGTAATTTAGATGAAAAATAATCCCAATGGCCTGAATTAAACGGTTAATTTAATGGATGATTCAATTATCATCATTAGGATTGACTGACAATTTTTTTCTGATATCTAATTTTTAGTGCTATAAATTATAATCAAGTTATCTTTAGTTAACCTTAAGGAGTTGACTCAAAATGTTAAAAACAACTAGTTAAAAAAAAAGTATCGAAAAAAATTGTTAAATTTAAAACTACCTATTAAATTAGGATAACTCGTTAAAAATGATATTTAAGCAAAATAAATTAGCAATAAATTTATTTATATTAATATTATCTTTTAATTCAAATAATCAGTTAGATATGTCAAACAATAGAAGTATTGTATAGTAAAATATATTAGATTATTCACCATCAAGAGAAAGAGTAGCAAAAATAAGTTCTTAATTAAGTTAAATGGATTTAACAATAGAAGGAGAGAGAGTAATATATAATTATTAATATTTAGACTAAAAGAATTGAAGAATCAGAAACAAGATTAGATTAATTGGAATCAGGTTTGAATGAATTAAATGAATAATTAAGTTAAAGAGTAGTTTTGATTAAAGATAGTGTATTGAAATTATAGAAAGTGTTGGATTAAACAAAATTATAAAGAGAATAACATTTTGAATAAAAATAAAAGGAATATATAGATTTAGAGAATTCATTCAATTAGGCAGTTGAAGGATTAACATCAACAAGAAAAGATGGAGAATAAAAAATAATAAGATTTATTGAAGAAAAGACAGGATTAATAAGAAGTGAACTAAGTACAGAAAGTAGAACAAGAAATGAAAATATTGAAAGATTGAATTAATGTTTAGAAACTGATTTACCAAGATTACATGAAGCTATAAAGACAGAAGTAGCAGAAAGAGAAGAAATGGATTCAAATATATCTAGAAAGATGAATGAAGAATTAAGCAAATTAAACTAATTATTAGTTTNAGCCTTAATAGTGTTATTAATTATAATTTACTAAATTATACTTGTGAATTAAGAGAAATTTAGTTTATCTTGTATTTTTTATCATTTTGATCTTTCATGATATTATCTTTCTCAAAAAGTCATGAGGTAGGATATTTATTTCAGAGTGATTGCATAATCAATTTTCCCAAAAGACATATAAACATTGTACTACATAAATGATTTGTAGAATATCGAAAATTTTTTACATCTATATGTAATTTAGATGAAAAATAATCCCAATGGCCTGAATTAAACGGTTAATTTAATGGATGATTCAATTATCATCATTAGGATTGACTGACAATTTTTTTCTGATATCTAATTTTTAGTGCTATAAATTATAATCAAGTTATCTTTAGTTAACCTTAAGGAGTTGACTCAAAATGTTAAAAACAACTAGTTAAAAAAAAAGTATCGAAAAAAATTGTTAAATTTAAAACTACCTATTAAATTAGGATAACTCGTTAAAAATGATATTTAAGCAAAATAAATTAGCAATAAATTTATTTATATTAATATTATCTTTTAATTCAAATAATCAGTTAGATATGTCAAACAATAGAAGTATTGTATAGTAAAATATATTAGATTATTCACCATCAAGAGAAAGAGTAGCAAAAATAAGTTCTTAATTAAGTTAAATGGATTTAACAATAGAAGGAGAGAGAGTAATATATAATTATTAATATTTAGACTAAAAGAATTGAAGAATCAGAAACAAGATTAGATTAATTGGAATCAGGTTTGAATGAATTAAATGAATAATTAAGTTAAAGAGTAGTTTTGATTAAAGATAGTGTATTGAAATTATAGAAAGTGTTGGATTAAACAAAATTATAAAGAGAATAACATTTTGAATAAAAATAAAAGGAATATATAGATTTAGAGAATTCATTCAATTAGGCAGTTGAAGGATTAACATCAACAAGAAAAGATGGAGAATAAAAAATAATAAGATTTATTGAAGAAAAGACAGGATTAATAAGAAGTGAACTAAGTACAGAAAGTAGAACAAGAAATGAAAATATTGAAAGATTGAATTAATGTTTAGAAACTGATTTACCAAGATTACATGAAGCTATAAAGACAGAAGTAGCAGAAAGAGAAGAAATGGATTCAAATATATCTAGAAAGATGAATGAAGAATTAAGCAAATTAAACTAATTATTAGTTTAAGAGAAAGTTAATAGATAAGAATCAGAATAAGCAATCTTTGATATGTTAAAAGATGTTGTTAATAGAATCAAAACTGAAGTAGATAATGAAAAGAAATAAAGGTTTTTATTTATTATTATAATCATTATAGAGAATCTACTGAAGAAACACTTTTAGCTTTATTAGAAGATACTTGCAATAAAGTTAATGCAGCATAACTAGCATGAGTTAACAATCATTATTCATTAAACATAAATAAAATAAAATATATTATTAATTTCATTTTATAATTATTTATTGTAACACAGTTGAAATCATAATAGATGTTATGAATGAAATTAACAAAGCAGGGAGGTAAGTTTATATTGACAATTTTGGTGTCTTCCCAAGTCTCTAACCTTTATTCTTCAAATCCCTGATAAAGGAAAAATGTTAGCTCTCTTCATTTATGAAGATGGACATCCTCCTAATTACTTTATAGAGCCCTTAGTTTTTCCTTTGATAGAATAATACTTAGGTTGACTGGAGAAATAAATTATAAAAGCAATTTGGAAATGATGATAATTAGAGTTATAATTCTATTTAGATGAGTTGAGAAGAAACTTGAGTTGGATCCTAATTTGTAGAAAATGATAAGTGTTAGGCTAAAGAGTTAAAGTACTATAGAAGAATAAATAAATAATGAAGTAACAATCACTATCTGTTTAAATGATCTAAGAAGAATTGACATCATCTTTTCACTAACCTATTTAATAGCCAAATAAATAGAAAATTTATTAAGAAGAGTTCCTAGATTTATTATGGAAATTTATGTTTAAATTATTTCCTATCATAATTAAATGGAATCTAATAAACTTTAATAATTGAAGTTGAATAAGAAGTAATCTTAGCTATGTAGACTAATATTTAAGTTTTGGAGTAGATTATATTAGGCCTTGGTAAGTTAATGCTGAGAGAGCTTAATATGATGGATCTTCAAATATAAACCTTAAACTATTTTGGGATTTGGCTAAAAGAAATAAAAAGAAATTGAATAATATTGAAAGTAGGAAAATGAGAAATTTTGATATCAATACTGTCTTTAGTAAGATATAAGTGTTAGAGACTTATGATAAGAATATTCAATTTACTTTGGAGGGGTACAAAAAGATATTAATTTTTTTCTGTCTCTCCTCCTAATTCTCCCTTGTGGTTGAAGTTCCTAATTCAGTTATTGAAGAAGAATATCTTAATGTTATAGTTAATTAACTTGATGATTTTACCTTTTAAGAAAAGGAAAGGAATCCTATTCTTATTTAATTAATGTAAGATGCTAAATAAAGAATTATGATGGTCAGTATTAATACCCCTGTGGTTTATTTTGTCAATTTTTCCACTAATTAAAGATGCTAACTAACCAGTTCAAATCATTAAACTTGAATATGACAGGGTTTAAGTTTTTACTTATTGTTAATGTTTTAGCTTAATAACTGATGAACTCTCTGTTTTTAGCTAGAAGTTTGAATTACTTCAACTTTTATTCCAAATTATCTAATAACTATTTACAACAGGAAAGTTTAGAATGTTATCAATTTAAATATTAGGTTTTATTAGTAAGAGCCACATTTTCTTTTATTTACTTACAGGATACACTAAAATACCTTTTATGCAATTTCAAAAATTGTTGATTCGTATTGATTTTTCCAAAATGAACTTATTAATTACAAAAATAATAATATTATATTATTATTATAATGTGTTAATTTTTGTAAATTACTTCATGAATAGTTTAGATGAAAGCAGAAATTAATTTTCATTTACATTTATTAGTGAATAAGATATTCTAAATTTTTTTCTCAGATAGAAATACATATTATTTAACTTAGTTTTATAAAATTTTTGATTCCGAATAATCTTCATTATCTAAGGAAGCATTAATTAATGGTTATTAATTAAAATAATTTATACATAATTTTTATTAACTACCCCCAGTAATCACTAGTAATTAGTTTGTTGTAATTATCATGTCGAAAAATTAAATAACAAGTAATTTATTCAAAGAATATAAAATCTTATGGTTAACTAAAAACAATATTTTTTTTTTCTTGGAACAATTGATCCTTTACTACTCTTTGTTGTTTCCCATAAAACAAACAATACCTTGATTAATTATAGATTATTGTTAGCTCTAATTCTGAAAGCAAATACATATTATTTCAATGAGTGAAATTTAGAATTGAAGGATTTACAATTAATAACTATTAAATAATATTTTGATAAAATGCGATTTAATTTCTACAATAACTCCACAGATTATGGACTACAACTGTTTAACTTATTGAATATCACTCAATTCAATATAAAAAATAATAAAATAAGAATTTAAAATTCAAAATATCAACGAATATATTTTTAAATTAAAATAATTTAAATATTTAAAATTCCAAATTGACATTATTATTTATTTTATATGAATTAATCTTGGAAGATTAATGCCTCTATTGAGATTATTTTAATGAAAGATAAAGCTTCTGCTATTTCTTAGTTAGGTATATTATTATCAAAATAAATTAGGTTAAATTAAATTCATTGACATTGCAACAGAGCTTTATGATTTATACAAGAACTTTTAAGATATTCAAAAATAAAATACAAAATTGTCATAGGCAATAATAAAATTAAGTAGTGCTATTACTAATCTGTTAAGTTTATTTGGGAAGAAATAACAATCAGACGAATTTGAAAAGGATTGTTTAAATGATCTCAAAATGATATAATCTATAATTAATAGAGTTACGGTAGATATAACATAATCTGAAGATAAGTCAAATAATCAATCAAATAGTTAATAGAATTAAATTTATGAATTGTAAAAAAAAATTGAATTTTAGGAGGATTAAATCTAATAATTGATAAAGAATAGTAGTAAATTAAGTAATTTAAATAATCTACTGTTGTAACAAAATTACGAATAAATTAATAATTTTAATTAACTTCATTAAAAGTAAACAGAATAGAATTAAAAAACGAGTTTTATCCTTTTCAAGAATGAATTAGAATAATTAAACAAAAAAATATAAGATGCAACAAACAAATTTGAATAAATTAAATCTCAAAGTTCATTGCTCTAAAATATGGAGAATTAATCTAGAAATTTAAATGTCATTTTAAAGGATATACCAAAAATTTAAGAGAATCTAAATATAATGAATATAACACTATAAAAATATATAGATGAAATAAAATTGAATCTGGAAAAATTAAATAAGGAGGAAATCATTTAAAATTTATTAAAAACAATAAATAATAACAGATTAGGCTTTCAATATTTTCAGAGTATTTTAGGTCAGTTTCTACTGATTATTCAAAATATATTCAAGGAGAACAAAATAGAAAATGAAAAAATTTGAAAACTTTACCATGAATGATTATCCAGAGAAGAAAGTAAATAAATTGAAAGATACAAATTTAATATTTATATTAACATTAAAAAAAAGTTCTTAATTTATTACAAGATATATAAAGTTTTATCAATAGTATTGATTATCAAAACATTAATAATGATGATGATAGTTAAGAATAAAAATGGTAAAGAAGTATTGATTTGTTTAAGAAGATTTATAAAAGAATTCCTAATAATTCAATAGTTAATTAATATATCATAAAATCTGTTGAAAGCATAGAAGAAATAAATAACAAAATTTTTATATATAAGCAAAATGTTAATTTATTTAAGAAAGAAATTGATATGAGCGCATAAACTAATTGATATATATTAATATAACTAATTAATATTAAAATAAATATTATACATAAAGAATATAATATAATATAATTAATTAAATAATAAAAAACAAATGATGCTCATAGATCCATAGAATAAGCTACTTTATACATAGATTATGGATTTAATCATGTAATTATATATATAATGAGTTTAGGAAAAAGGATCCAAGAATTGTGGTTGCAAAGGATTACAATTATTCATGCCCAAAATTGTAATATAAGGAAAATGGTAGATTATTTTTATCATTTACTTGTTTTAATTTTAATGAGATATTCAGTATAGCAGGTAATTACATGATTGATAAATATTATAAGGGTAATTAATTATTTATAAAATATAGATTACACTAAAGAAGATCCAGATGTTGGATTTCATTTGACATTTTCATTTAATGTTTAATCAGCTAAAGAAGAACCTAAGATTCAAAAAAATGCAACTGAAGCAGAAAAAGCTGAAATTTAAGAAATTAAATTATAGATAAGAGCAGAAAATTAGAAATTGTTTGAGAAAGTCACTAAAGATTTTTCATAAATAAGAAGAAATTTTTATGCATCTGCATTTGAATAGGCATTTGATCAAATCAATAAAGGACAAACAGCTTCTAAATTTAAATATTAAAGTAGAGAGAATGAAGTTGTTTATGCTATTCCTGATTAAGATGCTTTGAATATATTCTATGAAATATCATTTTCTGATAATGTAGATAAAACATTAACAAATTTAATAATTGATGCTATGACAATTATTTTTATTTATATAATTTAACCAATTAAATTGATAAATATCTCAAAATTGTATTCGATAAAAAAAATAATAATTTTAACTTAAATCATAATATGATTATCTGAAAATAAAATGATAATATTATTATTCTAGTTTTATTTTCATCTATATAATATTAGATAATGTGATTCTAATTATTCTTGCTTTATTAGAATACATGCATTTTATTTAATTCGAAAATGAGCTATATATAATAAAAGTGTTAAAGTCAAGATGATTCAAGGTTGCAAACATTTGAAGATAGATAACTATAGGAAATATTATAAAGCCAGCTGGATTGATAGGAACACAAAACTTTATTCGAAATCTAAATAAAGGAGCTTGTTTTTCAGCCAATTACACAATATTATTAAAAAGATATTTAAGAGTAATAAAGAAAATTAGAAAATAGAGAGCAAGTAGGAATGAAATTATTCTGAAAGATTCAACTGGTATTTCCAGCAATATAATTATATCCATTAATCTTAAAGACAGATTAAATAAATAACTTAAAATAATAGTAATCTTCAATGATTTTTTTCAATTTTCCTAATCTTTTCCTCTTATTTATTTATTTTTTTATTTATTCTCCATATAATCTGGTTTTATTCTAAATAAAAAAGGATTTATTAATTTCCTTATTTTAATGCAATATTTCTAAGTTGATAATTTCTTTTAGTTTCTATTACAGTTCAATAACAGGAGAAATTTTAAAACATATAATGTTTATAATTGAAGGAGACTTCATTAAAAAGTTCAATACTATTACTTTCATTTGAAGTGTATATATTTTTATATTATTTCAGGCAGAAACATTTTATATTTAATAATCAATAATTTCTTAAAAGTCTTTGATTCCATAGTTGAATCTAATGTTTACTTTTTTTATATGTTTTTATAGCAAATTCAAATAATTATTTTTTTTAAGTTTCGTCTGATAGATATAGTTTGAAGAATTGATTGCAATATTTTTAATAATTATGAGTAAAATTAGATTTTTAATAACAATTGATTCTTATCTATTGAGATAATAAATTATAATGAATGTTTAATTTAGAAATTCATTTTTTTCTTTATTTTAAAGAGGATCCTCTCATATGAAGCATTTGTTCTGTCGAGACATTTGACAACAATTAATTATAATCTAGCTCTTTTTATCCATTAGGTAATGTATTTTATCGATCAGGAAACAAATTATTTTAAGAAATAATTCTATTTAATCCATAACCTTTTGATTAAGCAGGACTTGTAACAGAGCTGACTTATTAGACATGAGTGATTGAGGATTATCTAGAATAAAATAGAATTATACTAAGATTTAATTCTTTTTTAGAGAGACTAGAATTACTCAGAAGTGAGTTTCGATTATTTGTTGTTGCGAGTTTATGGAGATGCTTTTTTTGATTAATGTTCTTTAGGTTCATTACTTTTTTTTTATGGTTTAAACTTAGTATTAAGTGCTAATTATTATTGGGTGATCATCATGAAATGTTATTTTAATATTTTGGTTTGTTCCTATTTCATTTACAACTATTCGTAGGAATCAAAATAAAAGGCTTTAAATATTCTAATTTCTTATTTCAATCCAGACTTTCCTAATAATTTTTCTCTTGTTTCCAGTTCTCCTTTCATTAGATCATTTTAGTCATAATTAAATTTCAATTGATTTGGTTTAAAAGGTGGAGGAACTAACTTTTATAATATTGCTATAAGATCAACATCCTTAAACCAGGAATGTGTAAGTAGTTCTGTCAATCCTTTATTTGCTCCCAATCTTTCTGAAGGTTGTTTGCATAATAAACCTTGTAAAAGATTCTATGTATATAGTGAAAGTACCTTTATGTCAGAAGATAGATTTAATTTTTCAGGAAATGTTAGTTCTTCATTCAGTATTGATTCATAGATCTCATCAGTATCTCTAGAATAATATGGAGGTAATCCAGTAACTAATTCATATAGTAATGCTCCTAAACAATAATGATCGACCTAAACATTATGTCCTACTTTTAATAACATTTCTGGAGCCATATATTCTGGTGAACCACAAAAGCTATATGCATAATCCTCTTCTGTCATATTTGGTTTTGATAATCCAAAATCTGCTATTCTTATATGTCCATCTAAATCTATTAATATATTTTCTGGTTTGATATCTCTATAAACAACAGATAATGAATGTAGATAAAACATAGCTAAACAAATTTCAGTAAAATAAAATCTTGCTTAATCTTCTGTCATTCTTTTTACTTGTCTTAATTACTAGAACAACTCTCCTCCACTACAAAATTCTAACACAAATACAATAAAATTTTTAGATTCAAATGCATATTCTAATTTAATAATAAAAGGATGATCTAGAACTGTCATGATATCTCTTTCATTTTATACAATACCTAATTAATTTTTAATTAATCATACCCTATTTCTTATTTTATATAATAAATTCCTTATCAATTAATTTCATAGCATAGAATCTTCCATTAGATTTCTTTTTGACCATATAAACTCTTGAAAATCCACCTACTCCAATACATTTTACAAAAATGAAATCTTTAAGTGTTATTTTGCTTTATTAAGATGTTCCATAAAATGGTTATAAATTTAATGTTTATCCACTAAATATTTCTAAACTTTTATTAGGTTATTGCAAATAATAATCAATAGGTAGATTTTTATCAACTGTATGAAATGAAACTATATCTAAATCTGAAGATTCATTTCCAGTACCACAATTTACTTTTCTTTCATCTGGTTAAGAACCTGTTGATGAATATTAATGTATTGAATATTTCTTCATTTCTTATTTTAAATATTCTTCTAACCATCCTGTTGTTTTTGAAGATTCAATATTAAATTTAATTTATTGATTTTCATGATTCACAATTATTGTAATATCTGTATTAACAAAACTCAATTTGTTTGATGTTTATGATTTCTATGGTTGACTTATACCAGAATTGATTCTTTTACTTTCTTTTTTTTAACTCATCATATCTGACATATTTGCTTTTTTATTTCCTGATGATAGTTATTTGTTATTTGTCATTAATTTTAATAATTCTTTTTGATACTATATTGTATTATTCGTTTTTTTTTATCCCATACTTTAATTTGTTTTTTAATTTGGACTCAATGACTGTCCTATTAATCCATTAGTATTGAACGATTAACTTAATTTTTAAGATGCTTTTGTAGTTGAACTAATTATTATTCTAAACATACGTTTTCAATATGCTCTATGATAGTATTTCATGTAATTTCTATTATTTTGAGAGCATAATCAAATTTAAATATTTATATAATATATTATAATACTATTCACAATTTACCCATCACTGATTATAAAATTTCAATTCCATGTAGATCTCTTAGTTTTTGTAAATTGCTCTAATCTTTTGTTAATTTTGCCAAAAGAATTGCAGAATTTTTTCTAAAATTGCCAGTTCTATCTTTCACAAAACCTAACAATCTAGGAATCATCTAATTAAAAAATGAACAGGCATTCTTCTCACCATTAATTGGTGATAATAAATCAATTATATAACCAATTACATTACAGCAATTACAATATATTATTTCATTATCACTTTGCAATTATTATTTCAATTATTCCAATAATTCATATAAAAATGTTTACTTTTATTTTAATTGATCAACCACTAAAGGAGATTTATTTGATAGCCATTGAAGTAAACATCTAATTGATTAATTACTGTATTATTTTATAAATTTTGTTATAATAAATATATTTTCTTCGTAATTAACTTTAGATAATACTGTTAAGACTCTTTCTAACACTAAACCATCTTATTAAGTCTCTAAATATTCAATTAAAGTAGGAATCAATAGATTAATTTTACTAACATATTCTGATTACACTTAATTGATTTAAAATGTCAAATTAACCAAAACAGCAATTCCATTTTATTTTAATGAATTATATTCATTATCTTTAAATTATATAGCTTTGATAAATTTAAGATAAACCTTAAAAAAATTTGGATTTAATTCTTTTGATAAAAAGTAAAACCTATATTTCTCTTCAGTTAACAGATTTGACAACAAATTGCATAATTAATTCATCATTCTAATATTTGCTTATTTAATTTCTGCTTTTTCGAATATTTCTACAAATTTAACAATAATTTCTTATATATTTGCAAAAAGCACATTTTTTAATGGTGTACTCTACCCATAGCATAAATTACTGCAGAAACTTAAAAAAGTAGCAACAACATCTTTTTCTGTTTTATATAAAGAAATAATTCTTTAAAATAATTCAGGATATAACTTAGTTCTGATAATTTCATGCTGTTGTATTATAGATCTTGGTTTATCTTCATCCATCACATTTAAAACATCTAAATAATCTGATATTGTATCATAAATAGCAGATTAAGATTTATTTTCAACTCGTTTCAATAATTACTTAATTTTTTCATAAATAACTTCAATTCCATTATATTAAATTAAAAATTATTCCTAATACAACAAACTTTTATCTTAATAAACTTATAAAATCAAAGCAGGTAAACTTGCCAAAATCTACTATTAATATTAATATTTACATTTTATATATCGTGCAATTTCTCATCATTCTTTGATATAATTTTCAATAATTATTTCAATCCATTTTTCTCATAAAAATAAGCTGTGGCTTCGTTTGAATCAACCTTTAACACTTTAAATAATTATAAGAGTTCAATTTCCTCCTCTCCAACAAATTTATCAATTAATTATTTGTAAGTGAGATTATCATCCATGAAATTTTTTTTATCTTTTACATTATCTAGATTATTATTATTACTATATACTATTTTCTTATTAATCTTGATTATCTTATTTTGGTTCTTCTTCATCCTTCTCCTCTTTTTCATTTTGCTTTAATCTTTAATAATGATCTATTTTAGCTTCTATTTCTTTTTTAAGATTTTAAACCCATTTATCATCTGGTATAAGTTCTAAGGCTTGATTAATATCATTAAGTGCTTCTAATAAACGATCTCTATTATAATATGCCAATGCTCTTCTAGCAAATGCTTTGCAGCAACTGTCTCTACTCTAAGTATAACCATTCTCAAAACATTCAGCATATTCTATGACTTTTGTGCAATCATTGATAGCCTTTTTATTTTTATTTGATTTTATGTATGTAATTGCTCTATTCAACCACAAAGTTTTATTATCTTTTACTAATTCAAGAGCTTAAGAGTATTTCCAAGCTGCATGATCATAATCACCTTTACTATAATATTCATTTCCTTTGTTTTTTAATTCTTCTGCCTTTTTCATATCCTCCTCTTTCTTTTTCTTTCTCTATTCCATATCTAATTCTAAGGCTTTGAAATTTGGATCATCTTTAGGAACTATTGGTTCAGATTCAATTTCTTCTTCTGAACTTGTATAATATTCCCATTTCTTATGTGTAAATGTACTCTTTTTCCATAAGATTTTCTCTGTTTTCTCCATTAACTCAAATTTCTATTTCTTCTATTGCTTTCTATTCTTGTCTTCTTTATATTTCTCAACCTTCTCTAATAATTAATTGTAACGTTCTAGATTATTCTATCAATTTTACATTCCTATGTCAAAGTCTCTCTTTTACACCAATAGCATTAATCTGTTTATTTAACATACTCTAAATGGCAATATTTGCAAAAACTAGCATAATCTTTATTTTATCCTTTTCCTTTTCTCCCTTTTCTTATTTCTTCCTCTTTCTAAATCTATAATTATTTTTTAGCATCTTCTTTCTTTTTCTCTTATTCTAATCGTTTTTATCTTATCTTAATTATCTCTTCATCATCATCATTTACATTTGCCTTTAAATATTCCATTATCTCAATACCTATTCACTTGACAATTTCTTTATTTTCTCATGTACTAATTCAACTTCTGCAAGCCAAGCTTCCATTTCTTCTGGATCTAATTGATTATCGAATACTGGTGGTTACATTTTATATATATTATTACTTTATCACTATATTTGTGAAATCAAAAATACATACATATAAAAAATCTGATTAAATATATTCAATCAACTATGAGTAGATTATTTTTATTAAAGTAATTTTGCATTTTAAGCTATCAAACCTTGTTTCTCTTATTACATATATTAATATTCTCTATAAAACATTTAATGCTGCAATTATAATTATTTTTGTTTTATTTGTTGTTAATATTATTATTCTTCCTTTTATAATGCTTCTAAATTTTATTAAAGCATTTGGAATTCATTCTCTTAATTTTTTTCTTAATATTAATTTTCAAATTATGATTCTTATTTATTCAATTATTCTAATTCAGATTCAAGCTATTCTATGGTATTTTACAAATCATTGAATTTTTTATAATTCATAATCAAAAATTTTTTCATTTGATCAAGATTTTGATTCTCTGTATATAATTTAGCATTAAATATTAATTGTTCTAAATGATCGCTTTTGATTTTTGTAATATGTGGTAACTCTTCAATATTCGATTCATCAGTCTTCAGAGTATATTTATTTTCTTTATTTCCAACTTTATTGAACATCTGACTGTTAATAATTAATTTATATTATATAAAACAAATATATATATATATTAAAATTTTTTTAATTTAAGCAATCTTAGTTATTTATCAAGTTTGGATGTTCATTATGTTTTTTTAATGCTTTGTTGTTATAACATATTAAATTATTAGGGTATTCCTATATGTTGGGTGTTCAAAGTTTCAATTATTTTCAAATAACCCATCAATAAATCTTCTTTCTTAATTCAATCCACTAATTAATAAATTATAAACATATCTATTTAAATTAAACTAATTTCACTAATTTTTTTGAAATATTGTCTTTATTTTAAAGAAATTTAATATATTACTTACTAAATTAAATCAATAACAAATTTTATAAATATAGATAGACTTTATTATATTTTTTTAATTTCTCTTCTATAATTTAATATTCAAGTTTAATTCTTTTGATAAAAAAGATTTTGTTCTAATTTTACAAGATAAAAGGAAAAATATAACAAATACTTTATAGATAGAGATTTAGATATTCTTGAGTGGGTATATGAAAACTTGAATATTGATAATCCTATAAGGTGTTAAAATATACTTGAAAATGGGGTATATCATGATTTCATTGCCATATCCCTTCTTTTTTGATATTAATTTTAATGAGTTAAATTGAGGATATTAAACATTGTTTTGAAGATTTAATTGTAAAAAATAATTAGCTGTATTTGAAATATATTTAGTTTTCTTTATATACATAGGAACTTATTGTAATATGTAACTAAAAATGTTTGATGAAAAAATTGTGCATAATATATATTTAAAAATTATTAAGTATTAGAATATTAAGAATTTTAAACTTATTGATTGATTAAGCAGTATTATAACAAATAAATTATAATTATCTAAATTGTTTTATATTCCTTGCTAAATTGAAATAAAAAGTTTTATATAATATTATTGTATTTATTTAAAGAAATAAAAATGAAATAAGAAATAGAAAAATTAGATTTAAAATAATAAAATTATTGCATATTATATACTAAATTACAATATTATAAATATATTTATATAAAAATTATCTATTCAATAAAATAGATATTAAAGTTTATTAATTTCTTGAAAAACAATTATTATTAGTTCATCAGAAAAAAATAGGTTTAAGATAGTTGTTAATCCTAGATTTACTAACATCATTCTTGAAAGATGTTTAAAATATTCATGTAGTTTTGCTTTTTCCTCATATATATAAATCAAAATGTATTATACAGTGATTATTAAATTTTATAAAAATTTCTTTTAATCCAATGAAAATTTTTATAAGCTTTATCTAATTGTNATATTATATAAAACAAATATATATATATATTAAAATTTTTTTAATTTAAGCAATCTTAGTTATTTATCAAGTTTGGATGTTCATTATGTTTTTTTAATGCTTTGTTGTTATAACATATTAAATTATTAGGGTATTCCTATATGTTGGGTGTTCAAAGTTTCAATTATTTTCAAATAACCCATCAATAAATCTTCTTTCTTAATTCAATCCACTAATTAATAAATTATAAACATATCTATTTAAATTAAACTAATTTCACTAATTTTTTTGAAATATTGTCTTTATTTTAAAGAAATTTAATATATTACTTACTAAATTAAATCAATAACAAATTTTATAAATATAGATAGACTTTATTATATTTTTTTAATTTCTCTTCTATAATTTAATATTCAAGTTTAATTCTTTTGATAAAAAAGATTTTGTTCTAATTTTACAAGATAAAAGGAAAAATATAACAAATACTTTATAGATAGAGATTTAGATATTCTTGAGTGGGTATATGAAAACTTGAATATTGATAATCCTATAAGGTGTTAAAATATACTTGAAAATGGGGTATATCATGATTTCATTGCCATATCCCTTCTTTTTTGATATTAATTTTAATGAGTTAAATTGAGGATATTAAACATTGTTTTGAAGATTTAATTGTAAAAAATAATTAGCTGTATTTGAAATATATTTAGTTTTCTTTATATACATAGGAACTTATTGTAATATGTAACTAAAAATGTTTGATGAAAAAATTGTGCATAATATATATTTAAAAATTATTAAGTATTAGAATATTAAGAATTTTAAACTTATTGATTGATTAAGCAGTATTATAACAAATAAATTATAATTATCTAAATTGTTTTATATTCCTTGCTAAATTGAAATAAAAAGTTTTATATAATATTATTGTATTTATTTAAAGAAATAAAAATGAAATAAGAAATAGAAAAATTAGATTTAAAATAATAAAATTATTGCATATTATATACTAAATTACAATATTATAAATATATTTATATAAAAATTATCTATTCAATAAAATAGATATTAAAGTTTATTAATTTCTTGAAAAACAATTATTATTAGTTCATCAGAAAAAAATAGGTTTAAGATAGTTGTTAATCCTAGATTTACTAACATCATTCTTGAAAGATGTTTAAAATATTCATGTAGTTTTGCTTTTTCCTCATATATATAAATCAAAATGTATTATACAGTGATTATTAAATTTTATAAAAATTTCTTTTAATCCAATGAAAATTTTTATAAGCTTTATCTAATTGTATTTGATCATAAGGTGTTAGTCTGAAACCCTTATTTATGAAAATTTTTTTCAAAATTTCTCTTTAGGTAAATTTAAGATTAGATTTTCATTTTTAGATTGGATTATTTCATCATCGAGTTGCTAGTCGTACACTTGCCAATCAAAATAAATTTTTGGAGGTTAATGTTTTGGCTCAGGAACTTTCATAGTAAAAACTATCGAGCTCAATCCTCATTATAAATTAAGATTAAAATTTTTGTTTTGGAGGTTTTATATTAAGAAATATTTATAGAATAGACTAATGGAATGGATATAGATTTAAAGTTTATATAGATAATATTGAAAAGCATAATGAATTATATTATCATAGTTCAAGTTCAAATAATCTTTGTGGAAATTCCAATTATAATGATGAAACTTTTGAACTGGATTTGAATACTTATCATTAAAGCTCAACTACCTAAATACTAATGACAGGCGATGGATATTGGGGAATTTCAGATTTGTAATTATTCATAGAAAAATGCCCAGATGGTTGCGATTCATGTGACTAAAATGAGTGCTTTAATTAAATACTCTTTATTCAATATTTTACTACCAAAACTTTTTAAAATGTTGAAGGATGGCTAACCTACAATGGGGTAATATACAACTAATAAATGAGCATTGGAGGTAGTAAAATAAATTATCCTAGATTATTTTATTTAACTATTAAGTAGTTTCTAATCTACTAAAACAATATATCTACCGCCACATGATGCTGTTAGTATTTAAATGAAAATAATAACGCTAAATTATTTTCACGTATATAATATACTAATTGATAATGATGTAGTAATTTATTCATCTGTTTCAAGGTAAGTATTTTTAAATACAAATTATCTTTATTCTTTTTTAATCACAAATTAGATCAATATTCATTAATATAGGCATAAACATTAATATATTACTTTAACAATTAGAATGATATCTTCCTCAGCATATACGTCTTCATTTAATGCATATTAAGGAATTAGAGATTTTTAATTATTTATCAGACCTATTCTAAATTATGATTTTTGCTTTGATGAAAATATCTATCCATTTGATGGATGCTTTGCTGAGATTTATGATTGTGTTGAAGGTTGTTCAAACTGTTTAAGAGGTGTATGTTTGGAATGTTAAGGAGGATGGTAATATTATGAATAAAATAAGAATTGTTTACCAATATGTGGTGATTCTATAATTACATATTTTGAAGAATGTGATGATGGTAACACATATCAATATGATGGGTGTTATTAATGTAAATACTCATGTTAATAAGATTGTTTATTATGTGAATTTGGATAATGTTTGAGATGGAAAACTTCATACTTAGAATTTTAAAATTAGTCTTATAGTGACAATTTAAATCTGAAATTACCAATTGCACAGAAAAATAAAAATCACAATTAATGCTAATATTTGTATGATTCATTAGAATGTTATTAATATATAAATGAATTAACTTGGTTATTTTTAACTTGTGAATCTTAATATTAGATGAATGAAAAGAGATTAAAATAATATAGTAAAAAGAAATGTGGAGATTTAATTATTACATGTGATGAGGAGTGTGATGATGGTAATCAAGTAGAGTATGATGGATGTTATATGTGTAAATATTCATGTCCATTGAATTGTAGTAAATGTTAATTTGGAAAATGCAAATAATGTTAACCTAGATATGAATTAATAAATGGATATTGTAAATATAATTGTGATGGTTATGAGATTTATGATGATTAAGAAAATAGAAATTGTATTAATCGAATTATTAATTTGATTGAGAATGGTGATTAATAACATTATTTATTTAATAACTAAAATTCATAATATAAATTAGTAAGTAGTCTAACATGCAACCTAAAAGATTTTGGAATCTTTGGATATTTTTATAATTAATGTAGAACACCAGTTATACAATATTGTAAGGAAAGTCTTTATGATAAATGTCTAGAATGTGATGAATATTATAAATTGGAAAATAATATATAGATATGTACTCCCTTATGTAATGATGGAATTGTAATAGAGAGAGAATAATGTGATGATAAAAACAACATATAATTTGATGGATGTTACAAATGCTAATAAAGTTGTTTATTGGAATGTTTAAATTGTGTTGGAAATAAATGTTATTAATGTCTTGATGGTTGGCAACTTATAGATTATAGTTGTTATCAATATTGCGGAGATGGTTAAGTAGCTAAATCTTNAACCTAAATTAGATTACTTTAACAATTAGATAGAAATCTAGTACTAGGTATACATCAAGTTATTCTGCTTATTATGGAATTAGAGATTTTTAATTATTTCTTAAAACATATGATAATTGTTTTGATGATAATATTTAACCATTTGATGGATGTTTTGCTAATATTTATGATTGTATTATAGGTTGTTCAAATTGTGTAAGAGGTATATGTTTGAAATGTTAAGATGGATGGGAATATTATGAATAGAATAAGAATTGTATACCGATATGTGGTGATTCAATAATAACTTATTTTGAAGAATGCGATGATGGTAACACATATCAATATGATGGGTGCTATTAATGTAAATACTCATGTTAATAAGATTGTTTATTATGTGAATTTGGATAATGTTTGAGATGGAAAACTTCATACTTAGAATTTTAAAATTAGTCTTATAGTAACAATTTAAATCTGAAATTACCAATTGCACAGAAAAATAAAAATCACAATTAATGCTAATATTTGTATGATTCATTAGAATGTTATTAATATATAAATGAATTAACTTGGTTATTTTTAACTTGTGAATCTTAATATTAGATGAATGAAAAGAGATTAAAATAATATAGTAAAAAGAAATGTGGAGATTTAATTATTACATGTGATGAGGAGTGTGATGATGGTAATCAAGTAGAGTATGATGGATGTTATATGTGTAAATATTCATGTCCATTGAATTGTAGTAAATGTTAATTTGGAAAATGCAAATAATGTTAACCTAGATATGAATTAATAAATGGATATTGTAAATATAATTGTGATGGTTATGAGATTTATGATGATTAAGAAAATAGAAATTGTATTAATCGAATTATTAATTTGATTGAGAATGGTGATTAATAACATTATTTATTTAATAACTAAAATTCATAATATAAATTAGTAAGTAGTCTAACATGCAACCTAAAAGATTTTGGAATCTTTGGATATTTTTATAATTAATGTAGAACACCAGTTATACAATATTGTAAGGAAAGTCTTTATGATAAATGTCTAGAATGTGATGAATATTATAAATTGGAAAATAATATATAGATATGTACTCCCTTATGTAATGATGGAATTGTAATAGAGAGAGAATAATGTGATGATAAAAACAACATATAATTTGATGGATGTTACAAATGCTAATAAAGTTGTTTATTGGAATGTTTAAATTGTGTTGGAAATAAATGTTATTAATGTCTTGATGGTTGGCAACTTATAGATTATAGTTGTTATCAATATTGCGGAGATGGTTAAGTAGCTAAATCTTCAATGGAATAATGTGATGATGGCAATTATAATGATGGAGATGGATGTTATGAATGTAAATTTGAATGTTTTCCATTTTGCAAATCTTGTGCTGATAGAAATACATGTTTGGTTTGTGAAAAATATTTCGAATTATTTAACAATTCATGTAAACCGATATGTGGAGATGATTATATTATAATTGGATTAGAAGAATGTGAAGATGGAAATGATATACCTTATGATGGTTGTTTTAATTGTTAATTTTAGTGTGAAAAAGAATGCTAAATTTGTAAATCAGGATTATGTATTGAATGCATTGAAGGATATATGATTATAAAGGATTATTGTGAAGTTAATAATTAAACTTAAATTATGGATGATGAAGAAGATACATAAATATAAAAAAAATGTGGAAATGGTATTTATTCTAATGATGAAGAATGTGATGATGGTAATTTATTTCAGAATGATGGCTGTTCAATTTTATGTGAAATTGAATTTAATTGGTTTTGTAATAACTAACTAAATAAATCTAGTATTTGTACTCCTTATACTATTATTTAATTGTAATATCTTAATATAACTTAATCGATTTAATATGTTTAATTATCATTTTCTAATAAAGTTAAATTAAATGAAACTATTTCAAATTTTACTAATTTTATTAAACCCTCTATCCCATCTCTTTAATAAGACATATATGAAATTACTATAATTCCTGTAGTTGAAATTGATTAGATCATTTTACTTGATGTTATCTATGTTTTATAAATTAAAATTTTAGAATCTACTTCAACACAATTATCTTTAATTGTAGAAATTAATGCTAATTTAGAGGATCTAAATTAAATGAAGGTTAATACTGCCATCTAAACTATCTATTTATAAATACCCAAAATTTTGAACAAAAATTAATTGCAAACTGCTAATAACTTTTAATCTTTAGGTAATTGGATGATGATAGGATTAGCTGGTAGTAGTTTTTTTTTGTTCTTTTTTGGAAATCCTAGTTAATGTATGGAAATTTTAGATACTTTATAATTTTAATCATATTTAAAATATATAAATGTGGAATTCCCATAAAATATTTAAATATATTTTGAATCATCAGAATTTGTAACTATTAATCCTGTGTTGATTAAATTAAAAGTAAATGATGTATTTTAATAATTAATTGGATATCAATATTTAGAAAGTGTAGGAAAACTGTTTGAATATAAATTAAATGCAGATTTATTAGTAAATATATATGGATAATTTACTTAAATAGGGTTCTTGATTGGATTGTATATATTTATTAAATACTATAAAAAATTGATCTATACATAATGTTTTGGCAATAAATATATCTACTATTTTAGACTCTTTAAGAATAATATCATTTAAAGTATTGGAATTAAGTTATATTATATCAATAAAAGTATATGTAAAATAGATGAAATATTTAATATTTAAGGCTTAATTCAATTATTTCATGCTAATAGTTGGGATCTTATATTTAAAATATTGATTTTTTTAGCTTCTAATTAAATTTTAGGAATAAGAGAAATAGTTTCTATTATTATATCAATTGGATATCTGATATCCACAATCATAATAGTAAGCTAAAATTGCAAAGGATACACTCGTAAGATTATATTAAAGGATTTAAGAACTCAATAACATGATGAAATTATATTACTTAAAAAACTCTTATTTTTAGTAGTTCTGATAATCATGTAAAGTTACCCTCTCATACAATGTATACTATTAACATGTATATTATTTTGGTATCTTGGATCATTAATTAGTCTTGATTTTGCAGTAAATAAACTTGATTTAATCATAATTATTTGGATGGAAGCACCTGTAATGCTTTTTACATTATCTTGTATGATATATAGCTCTGATTTTCAAAAGTATTTTACAACTGAGTAATAAATATTTGCTGGATTTTTATAAATTAGTTTATTGTTATTAGCTTTAATATCTCCTTTAGTTAGGTGTGGATATTAGTTTTATATAAAAGCTAGGGCATTCTATTTAAAAAATAAGAAGAGGAAGGACCCTATTGTTTTGGATGCTAGAAATATATTATTTGTAGTTGATAATAATAAGTGATTATAATAATTATATTAACTTAATCTATTATAATTTAATTACTAATTATTTCTCTTTATGCTAAGTTATAAATATTGATTAGAAATACTACTATTAGTATTTTCATTAAAATTAAATGATAATAAATATTTATAGCATATCTTTGAATGATATCATAATAATTATATAAAATTTATTGATTAATTAAATTACAATATATTTAATGGTGCAATTAATTTTTCTAGTTTATCTTTAAATAGTCATAGTATTTACAAAGATTTAACAATTATATTTAGCAGAAAATGAATAATTTTAATAATCTAGGTAAGCAATTATAATTGCAACGAATGACACAGAAATTGTAGAGAATGAATTTTCTAATATTGATACATTATTAAGAAATGCAAAAACCCTATCAAAATAATTATCAAGTTAATAAAAAATATATACAATGGAATCAGATTTTATTAATGTTTTTACCTCATTTTACTATGATAACTCTGCAATTGATATATGTTTTTCAAAACTTGGTTATATCGATTGTAAATATAGAATTATGAATTAACTTGTTGATGAAGATCTCATAATTTTTGAATCTTATCAATATACTCTTTAAATTGAAAATAAATTATGTGAATAATTATATAATATTTAGATTAATAAATTTATTGTATTATGTAAAAGTTAACAAGGATTATTCATTGCATTAATAAATAACTAAAGTGAAATAATTGATTCATTACTTATAGAATCTCTTTATAATGAAACATAACATTCGATATTTAAAGACCAAAATCTAATCATTTATGAAACATTAGATACATTATGTGCTTTATTTGTAGTTGGTTGGAATAATGATTAGAGTTATCTATAGATGAAATAATTAATTGTAAATGGGTACGATTATATAGATTCCAAAATAGTTGGTTAAATAAATAATGTCTAATTTTATCAAAGTAATATTTTAATAATATATTTTTCGTACTTAATCTTACACATAAATCTCTTGAATTTTTCTATTACAACTCCATTCATTTTAAATAATCACGAAATTGAATATTTTTAATTTATATAATTGCCTTAATTAAATTCCTAAATGATTATTTATTTAGATAATAGAATATAGAAGACTTTTGAAATAGGTAATAAAGAATTTCGTATTAATTCATAATTTCAAAAAATAAAATAAGTGTAATTTATCGAATAAAACATTATAATCGAATTTAAATCATTGTTATATATAGTAAATAATTAATTTATTTATGACGTTTTAAAAACAGAATTAAGTTAAGTTGTCTATTTAGAGAATTTGCCATTCATATTGTTATTTTAGAAATAAGGTTAGTTATCATTTTTAAAAATAAATAGTTTTCCATTTTATTTGTAATATTAATAATCTACTTATTTATCAGTATTTTGGTGTGTTGATATGATTATTCATGAATAGGCAACTATATATAGAATTAATTAATTACCCAAAAATGTGACTATTCTTTTAGAAAATAATTCTTTTCAGTTAAGAATTTAAGATTCTAATAGAACTTAAGTGACCTATCATTATAAAAATAAAATAATTGGATATCCAAGTTAAATAACTCAATTTGATGATAAGAATGGTGTTGTATCTCAAATTTACAATTCAGATTTGATTATCTCGAATATAACAAGAAATACCATTTTATTAACAAAGAAATATGTTGAATCTTGGATTAGAATAATCTTTCATGTAAATCAGACATTTACAATTTTAGATGAAATTAATAAAATTTATTTAAAGTATTAATATAGATTTAATTTTAATGAATCCTAATTTTTTATTAGTTCATAAGATTATGCATTTATTGTATAAGATAAATAAACTCTATACTTTTATTCATATGTTAAAACTGAACTCAAAGCATTTAAGATTAATTTTGAAAAGAAAATTAATTATTTAGTGTAACAAGGAAATTAATTATTCATTTATTTTTAAAATTGTATGATTATGATTGTTGAATTCTAAAATTTTTAAATTAATGAAGTAAATCACTCACATTAAGTAAATTGTACAATCTAATTAAATGATGATAGTGATAAATTAAATATTAAAATTCAACCTTCATAAATTGATATTTTAAGAAAGAATACTTATACTTATAGTTTGAGATTTCATTAAATTATTAGATTACAATATTTCATAAATTATAAAAAACTTATCATCTTTGAATTAAATGAAAATCTCCTTCAAATGAAATATTATTAAGAAAAGAATAATTACTATTAATTTTTATATTTAATACCAACCTATTAATATATTATAGATTAACCATTAATATATAAAACATTTGTTTAAATGATTGCAATATTAGCTCATAATGAATAAAAAGATTAATATATTTTAATATATGATTTACATAACAAAGCCTTAAATTCAATGGTTTCAGCTATATAAGTTGATGAAAAATGTCAAATTTTTAATTTTCATTCTACTTCATAATTTTTTTATGTTTATAATAATGAACTAAGAATCTAATTTTTAGATTCCATAAAAATACTATTTAAAAATGATATATTTAAATCAAATATGAATTCTTATTTTTATATCACTGATATTATGCTCAAATTTGATCCCAAGTATATAATTAATAATAATTCGATTATCTTAAATTTAACATTCATCAATTGTAATTAAAGTTTATAACTATTAACAAATAATTAATTAAGCTATTTCATATAGAATTAAAAAAAAATAATTCCATTAAATGAAGTATTTGGAAGAATAAATTCTATTACTTAATATAATGGAGATAAATTAACTAATTTGTCTTCTTTAACCCTTATGCATTAATAAGAATGTTCATTTTTTAAATAGAAAACTTGTCTTCTAGAAAATGATAAAATAATTATAGATTCTTTTGATTTACGATTAACTTTATAGTTAAACCAAACTCCAATCATTAATGATTTGGCACTATTTATATCTAAATACAATATATTTATATATACAATTGATGATTTAAAGATTTTGAAAATGCATAATTATAATTTAGAAGGGCAATTAATTTAATAAAATAGAATCAAAATATAATTAAAATAGGATTATATTTTTCTAAATTCAATTTAAGTAATTGAAAATTTCATATTATTTGATAATACAAAAGATAGATCAACTAAAATGTTATTTTTAATTTAGAATTATTAAATATAATAGTTTCTAATAAATGGATAAAATGAATTTCAATTTATATTTATTCATAAAACTCCAAATTTTTACTTTATAACATACTAATCTTATACTTTGATTTAGAACTCTGAGACCTTAATTTTATTATTCTTATCATTATAGTTTGATATCATTACATAAACAAATATATCACTTAATAACATTATTCCTAGAGATTCAACAAACGAATTATTAAAATTTTCAGTTTCTGAATTTGTTTATGATTATGATAATTACAAATTTGAATTATTAATTTGTTCTGTCACATTGAACTGTTATTATTTGTAATTATAATTTGATTTTAAATTTAATTACTTAGATTCAAAGATTTTAAAAATTTTAAGATATGAAATAAGCAAATCTTTAAAAAAAATTGAATTTGTGAGTTCAAAATATGTCATTTTGGGTTTTTACAATGATGGAAATATTAAATGTATTTATAATATTAATTAATCGAATAAATTTATTTTAGATAGTCATTAATAAATAGAATTAGCTGATTATAAAATTGAAAAATATAATGATACTTATTTTACTACCATTAAATGCAACCCTAATTGTGATGTTAAATTATTCTAATTACACAATTATTATATATCTTGTTAGGATGCTTGTGATGATTAATAAATAAATTTATTACTTTAGAATTAAGTAAATCAATTAAACTTAACTTTTGTAAACTTTATATCAAAAGAAAATAAATTAGAGTCCATATAAATTAAATCATAATAGTTGATTGTCATTATAACTGGAGTATTATTATATTTATATTTATGCAAAGCATAGAAAAAATCTAAAAAATGATAAATTATTAAGAATATATAAATAAAATTTTGATATATTGTTTTCTTATTACATAAAATCTATTAAATTAACATTATTTAAGTTTTATTATTTACCATATAATTATAATATATGGATTAAATTATATATATTATTAAAATAAATATAAGAAATGTTTAATAAAATAATATATTAATCTTAATGGAATCATAAAATTAATTATGTTTATTGTACATCTTCACTAATATTCTCATTGTTATATTTATAACTATTTGGATTTATTAAATATTTATTCATTATTATTAATTGTATGATTTGCATTAATTTGAATGAAATTCAACTATATAGATTTTAATAAAATTATTGAATTCATAAATTACAATATATATATATATATATTATAAATATAATTAATATGAACAATTATCAATTTCCATAATTGAATTATCAAGTATTATATTGTAATAAATATGAAATTGATTCATTATGGTTATGGTTTATATTGTTAATTAATTTAAGAACTAATAATAAAGAAAATAATAAGATGAATTCAATCTAATCTTACTATTAATATTCATCAACATATGTGATATGATTTTATACGATCAATATCTAGATTAGAGGATTGGAAGAATCTTAAATTTTATTGCAACTATTTAATATAAATTGCTTAAAAGATCATGTTAATAGAAACATGATAAGCTTTATAAGAATAAGATTAATAGCTTATAGAAAATTAATTACATATTTTTAGAAAATCTCTAATTTTATTTATCGTTTTTTTAGTTCTGGTTAATAATAATGTTAAATTTATCTTTGATTTTATTTCTTTCTTAATACTATAATATTAGTTAATAGATTTAAGGAGTTGCTCGAAGGTTTAAATTATATTTTGATTGTTTTAAAGTTGGAATCATAAATTTTTAGAGATTTATTGAAGAAAGTAATTGATAAATAGTTTATTAATTCTTATTTTAATTTAAAAATCGCAAAATGTATAACTACAGCTTTTCTCAGGATTATAATGATATCCCTCATTCAGATTGGAATGATCATAATTTTGATTGTTCTGATCATTATCTCAATCCTGTAATAGATAATTAAATGTTGATTTAAGTTGAAGAAAATGATACCAATAGCAAAAACTAACTTAATATTACTAATAAAACAAAGCAATAAAAGAAAAAGTTAAAATTTAATTTCTCCAAAAGAAAAAAAATAGAATTGTAAAATTATAATTAGAAGCATCACTCTATAATAAAAAAAAGAAATAATATAGATACACCTAATTCTCTATTCCGTAAAGGAGGGTGTGAATCAAATGAGATTCTATCATAAAATACTGATATTTCCTCTAAAATAACTACACTAAGCTCTATAAAATGGAAATTTGATTTTATAGCAACTTTAATCAAATAAACAAAATTAGAAATGATTTAACTTTAAAAATATCGAAATGATAATCAAGAATTGTGATTCATCTTGTATCCAAATATAAATATAATTACATTACTAATCTTATTAAAAAATTAATTATAATTAATATATTAATATATTTATACTAATTATTTATTCAAATGAATAATACTATTACTAGAATCCTTTTTATATTGATTTCATAATCATAAATATATTTTTACAATAAATATGATATTAATCATTATTATTTTTTATTAGAACTCTTACTTTACAACTAATTAGCAATAGCTTATAGATAATCTTCATTTAATCCCAATAACCCTGTAAAATAATTGAACTAAGATATTAATGGTACATATTCAGTTTCATAATCTAAATTTTCTGTAAATAAAGCTATTGAAACTTTATTAAAAGAGTTCTTTTTTTTTAATTCATAAAAATATGCAAGTGATAAAACACACTCTTTTTACTCGTAATATGCTGAAGATCCTGCTTTAATCTTATTTAATTAGTATTATATATATATATACCCCAACATGTTTATAAATATTTGCTAAAGCTGGATTTTATAATGAGACATATCCTATTAATGGATAAAATACTTTATAAAATTATTAATCAAAAATAGTTTGTTTATTTAATTTATTTAACATTTAAGCATAAGAATTAGTAGTTGATTTAGTAAATAATTAAGCTTATATACTTAGTATTTCTCCATCTAATAATTCTTTACCTCTTTTTAATAGATCTTATGCTTCTTATCCATTTTAAATTAACAAATTATGGATTTCATTACTCTTTTATTTGATTGATTCTTCTGTATACGATTTAATTTCTCTTATATATTGATCTCTTGTTAAATTTTTATTGTTTATATAAGACAATAAAAATGAATTTAAATAATAAGATGTAGTCTATTTCAATTTTAATTTATTGATTGTCTTTTAAATTAATTCTAGAGTTAGGAGAGTCTATAAGAATTCAGTATTAGCATTAGAACTTAATGCAATCATTCCATTAGCAATTTCAATTAATTTCACTTTACCATCTTATATTTTTCCCATGTTTTCCCAATTTTCTAAGAATAATTAATGTGATATATCAAATCCTTCTATATAGAATTTAGACAATTCCTTAATTGATATCCATTTATCAGGATCTATTAATCCTTAACTTACTTATCTTGAGAATTCTATAGCTATTGGAATCTTGAATACACTCATGAGATCTTAAAATCTATTACCATGATATTTTAATAAAGGGTAATCATCTGCAATAATAGTCATAGCAGTTCTTTTAGGATTATTCATAATAAATTCTAAGAAGGATGGTTAACTATAATCATTTATGATGAAACTTTTGAATTTAGTATTCTCATACTACCATGTTATTAAACCAGGAGCTAAGTTATTTTGAAATGCAACAATTACAGTAGGATAGATTGGATTAGGAGTAGAATATGACCAATATTAAATGGGACCTGTTCTTTTTTTAATTGTTTATAAAGTTTCTTTGAATTCATTATAATTTAATTAGTTTTGAACTTATGATGATAATTAATTATAGATATATTCAAATTTATCTATAATATATAAATATAACTTTACTTTAATTGAATGATGATTTGATTGAATGAAAATGTTCAATATTTGATTCTTCATTTGGTATAAATGTACAAAAAGTAACAGTTGGTATTACCATTCTAATAAGAATTTGTTTATGTAGTTTAATCATATGTATTTAATAATAATATTAGAATATATTAATATATATATATATATAGAATCTGATATTAGAATATTAAACTATAATTATTATTCTAATTAAAATTGTTATGTTCATAATTTATAGATATCATTTCAATCCATTAATTTTGTTTATGTAATTTTACTAAAAAAATAATTGTGTAATTTATAATAAATGAATGAATTATGGTACGATTAACTGAAAACAGTGATTTAAAATCAAAATTAAAGTGAAAGAGATTCTGTCATTAAAAAATAAAGATAGGATATTATATAATTACCATATTTAAGACATCCTAAACAATTAAGAGTTAATAGTATTACAAATCTAAAAAATATTTCATCTGATCGATTTAAATAATATTTATAATAAATATAGCTTAAAAGGTTGGCAAAAAGAGATTAATATAAAAACAATAATTCTGAAACTGAAATATATCCATTTTTAAATTTGTAAGCAAAATAAATCAAATTTTCTGAAAAAGAATTTAAAGCTAATAATCTAAGTGTGTCAATCAGTCAATCAAATATTTTGAATTCTGTTTAAAATCTTTAAACAAATAAGATATCATTTGCAAGACTTAATCTATAATAAAATAGCCTCCCTTAAGCTATTACAAATATTAAGGATTCTTCAAGAAGAATTAAAACTTTTAACTAAATTGATACTGCAGAAATTATAGAATAACCAGATAATAAATAACAACTCTATCTAAAATTAAGGTTTAGAAATAGTTTAATAAAATAAACAATCAATAATTGGATTAAATAAAGATATAATTTCAACAGAAAATTTAATTCCTGATTTTATTTAATTAACTCATCAATCTATTATTGATATACCATTATTAAAATTAGATTTTTTACATACTAAAAAAGGGATATTCAATAATAAATATAAAAGTTTATGTAATTTTATTATTTCTTAATATATCTATCATTATAGATATTTCATTTAATCATTTTCTTATCTAAGTTATAGATTTAAATGAAATATTTAATTATATACAAAATTACTTAGATGAATTGAGTTATTAACTATTATAATAGATGTATAATATCAATCTTTAAAAGCATTGTGATAATACTGTTAGTATTAACTTTTTTAAATTTAATGCTGCAACATTAAAAATTATAGTTATCATTTTATTAATACACTAAAATGTTCTAAATTCAAAATAGTTAAACAAAGAGTAAAGGTTTTAAGTGAAATATATTATTAAAGAATATATTTTATAATCGTTGTTTAATTTAAAAAATTATATCAATCAACTAATAATTTAATTAATAAAGCATCTTCAAAATAATCTCAATTCCTTAAGTTTTTTGACCAATCTAATTATTTCACTCTTAATAAATAAAAATTATTAATTGAAAATTAAGTGATTTCAACAATAATAGTAATAAAAATAATTAGATATCTTAATTACTATTTATCTCATAATTTTATGTTACAAAAATTAGAATCATTCTTAAATCAATTTTATATATTTTTCATCTATTAAAAATTTATGTGCTTATATATTTAATTTTTTACCTTATATTTTCTTTTATCTACTTCATTCCTCATCTTTCATTTTTACTTTAAAGTATTACTTTTTCAATTGAATAATAGTACAATTAAAGATCAAATTAATAAGTGAAGAATTTCGATGCACTCATTAAATTTATACTTGAAATTCTTTTTTGTTAAGAGAATAATTTAGCAAATATTAAAATTTAGATTTATTTATTTTTTTTATAAGAAAAATTTAGAATGCTCCAAATTTGATATTCTCTATATATATTGAATTATAATTAAATCAAAACAAAACAAAAAAAATCAAGGTTATATAATTTATAAATAAAGCATATTATGTATAATTTAAAAGTCAATATATATTAATTAATTTATAAAATTTAATATTCTAAAATTATTATTCGAATGGTAGAGGAGATATTTGAAAAAAGATCTTATAAGATAAGAAGAGATATAGGTTGAAAAGGACTTAATTTTTGCAATATATTAACGTATATAAATTCAGTATTTTTATTATTATAAAGGTATAGAAACAATTGATAAACTCAGAAATCTAATCAAAATATAATTTGAGATTTGAATCTTGATTAAACTTAAGGAAAATTTTTATTGACTTATATTGCTTAGAAAAATAGTTAGATTGAATAATGAAAATACTATATTCTAGGGTATAAGGATAGCTTATTCAATTTTTATTATGTTTAATATTAAAAAATGAATATATTCAATTCTCAAAAAGTTAAACTGAAAAGTAATTTTTAGTTTAAGTAAAAATGTTAATAATATATGCTAAGGCATATATTATTTAATTAATAAAAACCTTTAAATAATTAAGGTATTCACAACTTTAACAAAAAGAAAATAAGTTAGTTAAATAAGAATAAAATGTTTATTCTATAATACTCTAAATGAATAACTTTATTGAGACTAATTCGTATTAATAATTTATTATATAATTAGATTGTCATTACAATTCTTAGGATTCTACTAAATCAATTGAAATTTAGTCTACTTCTATTGAGTATTTAGTTTCATTTAAGTGATCAATATTGAATTTTAAGCTTTCAAATTTTTTGAAAGGTTTTTATTTCTATCAAAATTGATCCTTCGCATGAATGATCTAAACATTAGATAGTCTAAATCTTAATTGATTTAGAATAATCCTAAAAGGACAAGATGATCTAAGAAAATTTATAAATGACTAATTTCAAAATATACAATACCTTTTATTGTAAATTGATGAAATTTTACATAATAGAAATTAGAGCTTTAGTACAATCTCCTAAGAAAACTTCATCTTATATTGAAGCTCCTTTAAAAAGTCTCAATTAATTTTTCTGTTAAGATGAATCATATCAGATTGGTTGATGAGGTTTATATTTCTTTTGTCTCAGTTAGACTTAAAATAAATATATATAATACCCTTTTCTTATGATCCACTTAGACCCTCTTGAGCTACTTTCTTTTCTTTAAAAGAAAATTAAATGAATATAAAAATAATCAAATCTTTTTAACTATTCTCAAGAATAAATTTGTATAAATATTAAATTTAAATTTCCGAATAGGTATTGATATTCAGGAATGAAAATAAAATATTGTTATCTTTCTCTATAATTTATAAGTATAATCAACTTTAATGTCTATAAGATGTAAATTATGATTAATATCATCAATTATTTATTTAATGTTTGTTATTACAGATTATTGATAGACTAATGAAAATCATTATTTTATATTATGAAATCAAAGGAAATAAATAATGATATTTAAGTAATCATAATGTTACTAAATTGTATTTATTATATTGATAATAATTTTAGAAGTTGAATTAGATTAAAATAGAATCTCTTATGCTATTTCTAGTTAAAAATATATATTTGTATTCAAAATCATATAATAAATTTGCTATGTTCTTCTACTTAGCCACATCTTAAAATATACTATGTTTTTAAGATATTTATTGAGCCGAAAGAGCTTTTGTAAGTTTATATATATTTCTAATGATGAAGAGTATAAAATTTCTAATTTTATAATTATTATATACATATCAACTTTATTAATCTAGATAATGATAATCTTTATATATATTATAAACTAAAATTAATAAGGATAGTTTAATATATTATTGAGATTCTATTTGTTTAATTAAATAAATAATACCTATTATATTCTTTTAGATTATATTTGATATCTCAAAAAACTAAATAAAAATAGACATATTTAATTTTGAAATATGAATTCTGAATAATGCGATAATAGTTCTTAATCATTTATGTTTTAGAGTTTTTAATCATATAGATAGTCACAGATTGGAGATCTATTTCAAAATTAAGATTTTGCATTGAAAAATAATTAAATTTCAATCTTTGATGTTCAAGAATAACTATAAAGAATATAATCGATGATAATTTAAGAAAATGAAGAAGAAATATTTTACAATATAAGTTTACTCAAACAAATAAAGGATAATGTAATATAATATAAGTCATAACTATCAACATAAATAGAAAAATATACTGATATAATAGATTAATATATAGAGTTCATCATAAATTAAAAGGAAAATTTTCTATCTAAAATTTTTGAAATCCCTTTAATAAATTAAATTGTATTTTGTTAGTAATATTAAGAAATAGAAAACTAAACCTCAAATTATGCTGAAATCAAAAACACTTTAATAAAATAATTAGATTTGTTTAATTCATAAATTATTGTTAATGAATTAGAAAAACACTTAAATGAATTTGGATTAAAAAGATACAAATATTCAACTGAGATTTTAGAAAATGTAATTTAATAAAATTAAGATAAACTTATTGATTTATAATGTGAATATCATAAAAGTTAAATATAAATGATACATTTAAAAAATCCAAGTTTAGTACCAAGAAGATTAGCTTGTTTGACTTGTGTAGAAGAAAATCCTGGTGAATATATTAGAATAGAAAGATTTTATTATGAATGGTAGACTTAATAATAAAGAAAATTATCTCAATTAAGAAATACATAATAAACATTTGTTAAAGCATAAACATATTAAATATAATAATTTAGTAATTTTTAATTTTAGATCAATGATTTGATTTTACAACATAAAAATGATTAAAATAAAAATATCTAAAATTATTTATAATAAGTAGAAAAATTAAAATAATAAGAATCAGAGATTTGGTCTTAAATTAATAATCAAAGAATGAATGAAATTGTTGAAACCTATAGTAATTAAACTTCTATGATAGAGTTTGAAAATAAACATCAATCAAAATTGAATATTTGGAAGCAAAATTAATAGCTTAATTATAATACTTTCTTTGTGATTATATTGAATTAATTGAAAGATATAAATCCTGATACTTAACTCACAACTTATATAAAATAATTTGAATAAAAATAAAGCAATTTTAGCTATAGATTACTTAATTAAAGTTCAGTAAAACAATAAGATTAATGTTATGCTATAGCTATTAGTACAGATACATCCATCATTGTTGTTAGTTGTGAATAATTAATTAAAGTACATTAATTTGAAGATGAAATATTAATTGAAGTATAAGTAATTAGCGAACATTAAAAACAAGTTTATTGCTTAGTGTTTATGAAATATTCTTATTCATTTATATCAGGGAGTGAGGATAATTCAATAAGAATATGGGGATAAAAAAAAAAGAATTTATGGATTTGTCAATAAAAGTTATAATCACACTTAGATTCTATTTTCTCATTAATAATATCTAAAAATGATGATCTCATCATTTCTGGGAGTAAAGATAGTACAATTAAAATTTGGGATAAGTAAAGTTAATATAAAATTGTATCCATTTTAAAAGGAAAAAAAGAATGGTAGTGTAAGTAAACTATAACAAGTCATACAGAATCTGTATTTAGTTTAGCTTTAAATGAATAATCAAATTATTTAATCTCTTGTGGGAAAGATTATAAAATAATAGTATTTAAAGAATAAGAAATAGGGTGGATTTAATAATAAATAATTCATGTTAAATGCTATGGACTTGGAATTAGTTTTATTAATAATCATACATTTTGTTTCTAACCATAATATCATAACAAAATTGATATTTATAATTTGAATTTTATAAATTATACTAAAACTAAAGAAATATCCGTTAAAATAGGAGGAGTCTCTAATAATTTATTCCCTTAATAAATGATAAAATCAAAATAATTAATAATAAATAAAAATGGGACTTATGTAAATTTTATAAAAATTGATCAAAATTCTGATATAGTTTCCGAGTATTCGATTTAATTTTCTACTCCTTAGATTTTTGGGAAACTTAGTGATAATGGTGAATATCTATTTACCTGGGATTTTAAATCGAAAGAAATATAAATATGGAAGTACAATGAATGAATAAGATTTCAATAATTATAATTATAAAAATGAAATAATTAATAATATAATTTTTTCTTCTTCTATGAGTTAATATAGCTGAAACCAACAAATATTGATAATTTAAAAGCTTCATATAAATCTGATATAATGATTTAAATGAAACTCCCGCAAACCATAAATTAATCGAATAAGTAATAGTTATTATTATGCTTATTTTAGATTTTTAAAATCTCTTTTAAATAAAAATAAAGATACAGAGGAAACCATTAAACGCTAGCAAATATTTAATATTAATGTATTGAAATTAATAATTAAATTTCAATTTTCACAATATCGAATATTAGAATAGATTGTAATTTATACAATTTTAGCTTATTTAATTAATTAATCATTTACTCAAAAAAAATAAAAATAAAATTAATTTCTTTATAAGTTAAAAATTACTTATGACATAAATGTATTATATTCAACTTTAGTATTACATCAAGTTTATAGAATCACTACATTTTCATTAAATATATAAATTAGTTTTTTTTAATATCATTCATATTTATATTTAATATTTATTCAATAAAAGCTTTATCAAAAAACATAATAGAATATATATCGATATGTTAAATAATCTATTAACATTTATTTTTTATTATACAATTGATTTTTGTGTTTATCCAAATATTATCTTTATATATTCTCAAAAACTATTTATTTACTTTTAAATTATAAGAATAATTTTTATGATTTATAAATTTATTTTTTATAATAGTTAATATAAATATTGAACAGCAACGGAATATTGCAAACAAAGAATCCATATAAGATTTGTAAAATAATTGTTGAAGTAATATTTGTGATTAATAATAAATATATTATTCTGAATATGGATTTTTCAATATTAGTAACTTGACCTATAATTAAAAGTTACAAAATATATTTTAATTCATATATAGAATTTACTTAAATTTAAACATATATATCTTCTTTAAACTAAATGAAGAAATCTAATTATTAAAAATACAGAATTATCATAATATGATAAAACTTAATTAACTATATTAATTAATTAAGCATTATTTTTTTTTAGAAAAAAGATGGTTGAAAAATAGTTAATAAATGCTACAAGGTTTAAAAAATCGAAAAAACTTTCAACTAGATACTATAATTAAAAAATATAATAATATGAGTGCAAAATAGTCAAATATATATTTTTTTTTTTTAATTTTTATAGTCAAACTACTTATTTACTAAGAAATGTTAAGGTTTAAACAAACTAATAAGAATGATTACATTTAATCAATATACCGAAAATAAAAATTATAAATTTTTAACAAGAATATTTTTGATATTTTATAATTGATGCAGTCATATAAAAAATTATTTACTACTAAATAATTTTAATTTAACAATTGGTAAAAAATTAATCAAAGAATGGTTAATTGTATTGGTAAATGAAGAATTTTTTATTAAGGGAAATTTTCGGATCTTAAGCATATTTAGAGATTATCAGGCGATCTCTATTTAAAATCTATTATTATTTTATCTATATTTGATTATCTGAACTTAAAATCTATGACAATACATCCTTTATATAATACAGAAGAGTAGATCTATATAATAAATGTACTTCATTCTAAGAATTCTCAACATCAATACCTTAAATAGACTTTAATGAGTAATCCTAATTTTTAACTCAATAAACAAACATTATAAAAAAGAGAGTATAATATTTAAATACAAAAAATAGAAAATCTGGAGGAATCAGAAGTTTTAATCTCTATGAAGGGGAAAAAAGATGAGAGAATTTATTAGATAGTAGCAGCAGGAGAAACATTTAAATTAAAGAAAAATCAGTTAAAAAATTAAAATATCTATATTTTCCTTAAGATATAACAATTTAGTGTTAATAAATTAAGATTTTATTTGAACTAAGATTTCATTAAAAAAATTATTCTAAAAATTATTTACTTTAAATGAATTTTTTTAGTTTCAATAATTTATTCAAAATTAATTTTTAAATGCTATTAATTTATCTTAAATTTGATAAATCATCAATTATCCAAAAACTATCTAAAAAAGGAATTTGGAAAGAGATTATGAAGATATAAATGGATTGAGTTAAGTGAGAGATTTCATTAAAAAAGACAAGTAACTTTTAGATTTGATTATAAAAATGGGAAAAAAGTTGGTATTTAGGCTATTTTGTGTAATTACACTGGGAATATAGAAAATTAGAATATGTAAGAAAATATTTTATAGTTTATATGATAACGTGTGCTTATTTTTTCTAGTGGTGGTGGACTGTATTATGAGAGTGGTTTTGAGATTAAGTCAGGTAAATAGAAGGAAATCTAAGATGGATTAACTAATAATTCTTAATTATTACTTTATGGTCAATATACTTATGGTAAAAAAGTAAGTAAATGGGATATTTTGCATGAAAATAAATAAATGCAAAATAAATTATGTATTACTAATAATTTCGATTTTCGTATTTATTTAGTAGTGGTGGATAATATGATGAAAATAGTATTGAATTGAGGGATTGGGTAGAAGTATTAGATGGATATAATCATAATCGTTAATTAACGTTTTTTGGAGTCTATAAAAAAGGTAAAAAAGTAGAATTTTGGATAGATGTAAAGATATCTATATACTAGTGGCGATGGATATTATGATATAAATAAGGATGGACTTAAGATTGGCGAATGGAAAGATTTTGAAGACTAGTTTAGTGATATGAAATATATAATTTATATTGGTTTATATGACTAGGTAAAAAAAATTGTATATGGGATATATTTTGGAATTGGGATGGCTACTAGGCAATGTAAAAACTATAATATAATGTTGCTATAATGATGGTGGATTATATGAGTAAGGGATTAAGTTGGAAAGAGGATTGATTTAGATGATAGTTTTGGAAATGAAATATTAATAACTCATTCAGGTGAATACAATAAAGGTTTAAAAGTTGGGATATGGAAAAAAATGATTGAAGGATTTAACTAAAGAAATCAAACGAAAAATTTAAATTTAGAAATAATATTTTAGATTAGTATATTTATAAATTAGATCAGAAGTTTATAGATTATAAGTAGAAAACTAAAAAATAATATGAGAATAAAATATATCAAAACAAAAAAAATTTTCAGTTGAAAAAAATAATATAGGTAATAATTATATTCATTTTTATAATTTTACTGTTTATTTATTGTTAGATAAATAAGAAGCAAAGATTTGGAAAAATAAGATACAGAATAAATATTATTAATAGTTGAAATTAAATATTGTTTAATTGTTTTCAATAACACTTATTTATAATTGTAATTTAAAAATGATATATTAATTTTTGTCCAATTAATAATCAATTTTAGTAGTCATTTTTAGCGACATTAACATTAGTATTTTTAGACAATATACTTTCATTTGATAATATACTTACAAATAATAAATTTGAAAATATAAATTACCTATTTTAAATTAATGAAAATATGATATAGAATTATTATTAAAATTATAAACAATATTTTATCATAGATGATGGACATATTCTCTAATTTGTATAAGAAAAGATTTATAATCCCAAGTTATCAAGAATTACCCATCTTGACTTATTGTTCCAAATATTTAACTCCATAAGACTTTTTTGAAATCAATCACTTATTACAATTTGCATTCTAATAATTCTTCTTCTTTTGAGAGTACTATACTTATTAAATTCAATTTATATCCATTTTTTACTAATAAACAATTTTTAGATGGCACATAAATCATTGGGAAATATAAATTACAAGGTTGATCTCCTCCTTAAATTTATACATCCATCATTTTTGAAAATGTCTAGTTTAAAGCATTTAGATAATATATTTATAGATTAGCTTATTTATGAGATTGAAATGCAAATATATTATTTGTAATAAATGATAATCTATAACCAAAATTTTACACTACAATTCTTTATGTAATAATCCATTTAAAACAACTTATTTCTTCTAATACTAGTATTTAATTATTATTGCTACATGCAATTAATTTATTTCCCTGATTATTTATTGATGATGAATAAATATCTTAATTTATCAGCCTTATAGTTTACATGCATGAAGTATTTGAAACAGACCAAAATTTAATAGTAGAATCTTTTGAAAAACTAATAATAAGATCTTAATTTAATGGTTATAAAACAACGCAATTAATCCAATTAGAATGACCTTTAAATTTCATTATATATTTTGGATACTTCATTAAACTAGTTGGCCAAATAATTATTGAACCATCTCTAGAACCTGAAATGAACCATGGCTTTATTTAAAAAAAGTTTAGAGTAGTCACCTCATCTGAATGTTTATTGATTATTTGATTATATTTTAATTATTTGTTTTTGAAGTAAAAAACTTTGATTTTCTTTAAAGCACTTACAAGAAGTAATGTATTATATCTATTTATAGCAATTGCTTAACTAGACTATGCTTGGTGATAATTGGAAACTAATTTATAACTAAAATCTGTATTTTATGATAACTCTTGCATTAATCTTAAATAATTTAATATTATTTATAAATTGAATATTTAATATCAAGGTTATTTAAATTTTATATTTTCTTTAGTCAACAAACTTAAAATTATTTAATCTACTCAAGTTTTGAATAGAAATAAATCAATATATTTGATTATATTTTTCTAAAATATTAAATAAAAAAGAAATAAGTAATGGTATATAATTTAATTAGAGTTATTTACTAATCGCAATTAATCTAAGTAATTATCTCATTTTGAATATTTTCTAATTATTCTGTTTTATTTATATTATATCATTTATATAATTAATTAACAATCCAAAATATTGATTAATATTTGATTAATAAATTATTTCTGTTTATTTTGATAATAAAATGATAGCAAAATTATCAGATAATTTTAGGTTGAATTTATGTTATGAATATTATATTTGAGATTCAACAATTAATAATATATTATATTCTTATTAAATTCCCATCTATCATCAAATAATAAAAGATTATTTATATTTATAGTATTTATCATCTGATGATTAATAATAATTACTACATTACTAAAGATAACCACAATAGTTTGAAAATTGAAAAACAAATAAATAATGTATTATTAAATTTCTCATTTTAATATTCATCACAATACATTAATTAGAATTATGAAACAAAACCAAAATTTTAAAAGGCTTTAGGAATTATTAAATGAATTACTTAAAGTCATTGGGTATTGTAAAGAAACAAAAAGATGCTGGCTATTGTTGTAATTACTGTAAATTCGAATGCGATAGTTAACTATAAATGATACATCATAATTCATCTTGCTTTTTCAGTTATTATGATAATAACAAGAAAAGAACAGGATTAAGAAGAAGTTAAGTAAAAGAATAAGAAAAAAAATAAAAAAGAGTAATTAGAAATATCCTTAATTCAAAAATAATAAAAAATAATAGTATAGAAGTATAGAATATAAATAAGAATTTACAAAATGAAGAAGAAGAATAAAAAATTAATATATTATAAGATCATAATATTGAATAAGTATCAGATGATAAAAATGACTTAATTGATGAAAGTAAGTAAATATATCAACAATTAGTTTAAGATGATTAATTTATGATTAAAGGAGAGGAGAATAACTTCATTATTAGTATGATAGCTCTTAAGAATAGATCTGATTTGAGATTATCTTGGGATTGGCCATAACATGAAAAATATACAAAATACTTCAAAGTAACAGAAAATAGAATTGATGTAAAATCTACCTTAGAATATACTAATAAGGAGATTACTGAACAAAATTGTGAATTTACTTCTAATGATAAATTACAATAAACAAATTAAAATGAAGAATTATAACTAATTCAAGTAGATAAAGACATAACAAATAACTAGGAAATATCTTAACATGATATTAAATAATTGGATTTAGTATAAACTTAAGAGTAAATATAAAATGTAGAGAAGCCAACAGCACTAAATGATGATAATATTTAAGTTTAAGCATCATCATCAATTATTAAATTATAGAAATAAGAAATAAGATAATAATTTATATAAATTGATCTTATTAATGAAGAATCTGTAATAGTAAAGCATCATGATTTAATGACGATTTAATAAAATAACTCTTTAGAAAATTAAGATATAAAGTCTGAGATTATAATAAAAAGACCATCTAAATAAGAAAGCAATATTTAAAGTGATGACGAAGATATTAGTTTTATTGATCCTAATAAAGCAAGTGATCAATTTTACCTTATATTATAATAAGCACATTTTGAATTAATTCATAGAAATTAATTAAAAGAAGTTCACAAAATTTTAAGAGATTATTATGATCAAGTAATTAATAATAGAATTATAAGGTTCGTCTTGATATGCTTGATATTGATAAAGTTTGGGGATTAGTATAGAGTAAACATTCTCAAGCCATTTTAAATTATCGATAATTATTGAAATGTTTGTTAGATTTACATGATTAAGAAAAGATTTAATTAGATGAGCATAAATAAATTCTATATTTAATTTGATTTTATAATATCTAATTTTATTAAATTAATTTTATTCAATCTAATTAGTAATTATTTAAAATTCAATTAAAATTAATTATTTTTTCAATTAAATATAGAATTAAATTAATCATTTTATAAATTATTTAGATTTTATCTAATCTAAATTTAACTTGAACTCAAATCCCATGTTATCAAATATTACCCATCATGACTTATGTTTCCATTTATACAATAATGACCAAATTAGATTTATTATTAAATTATGCATTCATCATTATTTTTTATTAAAATTATATTAACACATTCTCCATTCTTATTTATCAATATAGATTATTATTTTATAAATTATTATGGAAATAAGTTTGTACATCCCTCTTTACTTTATATTACATCTATTGTTTTGGAAAGAGCATAAATATTATTCTTAGGTTAAAATTGATATAAGTGCATAGTCTAACCATTGAAAGGTTGAAATGAAAACATCTATTCACTTATAAAACATATTCTTTAACCCCATTAATTTATTTCAATTGTTTAAATAACAACCCAAGTCTTACAAGGTTATTATTGACTTATTTTTATTATTTGTTCATCCCAAGCTGTAGAAATCAATTAATTTTATAATTCATTTAAACTTATTCCACATATGAAATTAGAGTGTGCTAACAATTATTAATCAAATTTGCAAGCATTAGCATTTCTAATCCAAAATTTAATTTTTTAATCATTTCCACCAGATACAATTAGATCTTCATTATGACTTATAAGCAAACATCTTACAGGTCTTAAATGACCACATAATGATTATAATAGCCTTAGTTAAATCCCTTATAAAGACCAGATTTTAATGATTTAATCCCCACTTGATATGAATTAATTTGAATTTTTTATTACCACAATGCAAACTACTTATCTGTGAGCTTTTACTAATTTTTGCATTTTCAATTAGTTCTATTGAAATTTAAGTATATGTATTAATCCACTAAAACCTCCAATTACTATTAGCGATAATGATTTATCAATATCCAAGGTATAGCATTTTTCATTTATCGTATATTATTAGATTAGTTAGAAATAAACTTTTGATTATGTATCTTTAATTTTCTAAGAATTGCATTCATTTGAAATTATAAATTACTTTAGATTTTCTTACTGTGTTTCTCCATATAAAAATATTTACTCTGGTTATAAATTTGGAATATTAAATTGATTCATAGTTTAATTAATTTATTTATAAGATGTTGAATATATTTACAAATACATCAATATATAGAATAGTATTGAATTATGGAAAATAATTATTAAAAAGTTAATATTCGTAATTAAATGTATATATTTTATTTATTCTTAATACATTATTTCTAAATTAATTATTTGCATTCAAAAAGCCTTAATCAAAACTTGATAAATTCTAAATTAAATTACTTTTTGTATGATATGAAGAGTATTAAATGTGGCTATAAAAATACATATTATTATTATTATTATTATGGAGATTATAATCATGGTAAAAAGGTTGGTAGATAGTAAACTTTTTATAGGGATTATAGAAAAGATAAATTTGAATAGATGCAAATTGTAATTGCTAGAGTATAAGTGGTGGTGGATTATATGATGAAAAGGTTGAAGTTTCCATTAAGATTGGCAGATGGATAGAGTTGAGTGATGGTATAATTTTTGGTCTTAGTCCCTTATAATGGTGATTATTAAAATACAAAAAAGGTTGGTAGATGGGATACTTTCTTTAAATGTGGTGATAAAGGATTTACATAGATGTTGATATTATTATAATTAACAGTAAATTTACTGTGGTGGTGGATTGAAGTTCGATTAAGATTGGTAGGTGGATTGAGCTGAGTTATGCATTTAAATTGGATTCACAAGTCATCTATAAAGGTGAATATAAAAAGGGAATAAAATTGGCAGATGGGATATTTAATTTAGAGGAGAAAATAATGAAGAATTTAAATAGATGTAAAATAAATATAGTTAATATTATGTATAAATTTGCAGTGGTGAAGGATCATATCATGATCAAGTTAAAGGAAGCTCAATTAAGATTGGGAAATGGATTGAGTCGAATGATGAATTTATTTGGAATTGATGAATTACTTTTAATGACGAATATTTAAATAATAAAAAAGTTGGTAGATGGGATATTTGGTAGAAGGATTCTGAGATAAAAATATATCAATAAATACCTGGAGTAAAAAATTAATTTATAGTGGAGTGGATCATATGATGATGATGAAGATTCAAGTAAGATTGGATAATGGATTGATTTAAGTGATGAATCCAATTGTTATTCGTAAATTACTTTTAGAGGAGAATATAAAAACAATAAAAAAGTTGGTAGATGGGATACTTGGTATAAAGATTAAGAGACAAAAAAGAATGAAAAGATGAGTATAAAATAAAATTCTACTGGAGGCGGATCATATAATGAAGGAATACAGATAAAGTAATGGATTGAATTCAGCGATAGGTCAAATGCAAAGTTTTTAATCAACTATGATGGTGAATATATTAATGGTAAAAAGGTTGGAAGATAAGATATTTATTGGAAAAAGAATTGTGAAGGTAAATAAAAAGAACCTATGTATCAATAATAAATTTTTAATTATAAATGGTGGTGGAATATTTAATGAAAAAATGGAAGGATATCCAAATAAGATTGGCATATGAATGGGATAAAAGTTGAAATATGGAAGGAAATGTATAGAAAATGGAATGATAAGGAATTTAAAAAGCTCAAGAAGATAAATTTTGATAAATGAGTTACTTTCAACTTGAAAAGAAATAATTATATCAATATTTTAAATTAGAGCATTGACCAAAGTTTATTTTTTATTAAATTGACTAAGTAAATTTTTACTACAAATTTTAGTAAATGTGTTGAATTATCACTAAAATTGAATAGAATAACATATTTTAATTTTTGTGTATCATCCCCTTTACCTTACAAATTTTTCTTAATATCAATTATTATATTAATATATTTTCTAAAATAAAGAAATTATTAGTGCAATCTTTTAGTCATAAAATTAAGAAATGGGATACTTTTTGTAATTATTTTTTAATATTTTTTAAAGTAACACAAATTAGTTTAATATTTTATAAAATGATTCCCTTAGACTCGTAATTATGGAAAATAGGAACCAAAGATTTAGAAGTTAAATAATGGGATTAATTCAATGTAAAATTAGTTTAGACAACTATTCAAATCATATTTACTGAAAATAATTATATCAAATATGTATAAGATGGAGTCATTTTGAGAATGTAACAATTAATTTATAATTTAAAAGGGAATAAGTCATAGACACTTAGAAGGAGCCAGAACTATTGACTAATATGGAATAGATTAAACATTTTTAATAGTAAGGGAAATATGGAAATAATAAAAAGAAAATGGGGAAATGGATAACATCTTGGCAAGGAACAGTTCTTACTAAAATAGGAGGGTACTATGAAGATGGATTAAAATAAGGTTTATGGAATTAAATTATTAAGAACTTTTGGAGGTAAGCAATATATAAATAAAAATAAGTCTAGCTCAAGTTTATGAGAGTGGGGAATACTTAAACGATTTTAAAAGGGGAGCATGGAAATTTATTTATAAGAATAAAATCATGTATTATTAAAATTAATTGTAAGTGGTGGTGGATCATACAACGATTAAGGTTAGAGAAATGGTAAGTGGATTGAGTTGAGTGAAGGATTTTACAATTATTCGTAGATAACGTATAAGGGCGAATATAAGAACGGTAAAAAAGTTGGTAATTGGGATATTTTTTGGCAAAAGGATTTTGGAGATAAGCTCTATCAATAAATGTAAATATTAAAGAAATTAGTTTTAGAGGAGGTGGCTCATATGATGATTAGGTGGATGGAGATTCAATTAAGATAGGAAAATGGACTGAGTTTTGCGATGATTTTCACTCTTATTTGTTTGGCTCAAAACAGGTAACCTATAATGGTGAATATAAAAATGGCAAAAAAATTGGAATATGGATGGAAATAGATAGAAATATTGAAGTAAAAGAAATTTAATATGATAATTGATAATGATAATAACAACCATAATTTAAACTTAAGTTTACAAAATATAATCTAATTTATCATCTACTGATTTTCATTTTGCTTGTAAGGATAAATTAATTCTAATTAGGCCTTAGGTTTAATCTTAAGATTATTCCACATCATCATTCAAATTTGATCCAAAAAGTTCTTAATATTTTAACTCTTGATTTTATGCTTAATCGCTTATATTAATCATAATAGTAATACGATATGGATTTCGAATTGCTTTTATCAGTGATTTAGTATTTGTCTTTCTTCCTCAATCTTCATCACATATGAAAATATATACATTAAATCCTATTGATAATTAATATATGAACTCTGAAGATGTAGTAATTGGTGGTGGGAAATCATACTGTAATCAATACTTCCCTATATAGTAATGTTAATAAAAAAAATTAATTTTAATAAAAAATGGAAATAGTTTGATTTTTGTAAAAGTAATTTTGCCTTTTAAAGAAATAATAATACTTCAAAAAAAGATAATTTCAATTAGCAAATTAGCAGATATATTTAAAAATGAGAAAAGCCTGGATTTTCTTCATTATTAAATTTATGGTACATTAAGTAAAGATTGAAGATTAATCTCAAAATCAAATTTATTTTTTCTAATCTTTCTTGATAAAAAAGGAATCAGGAATATAAAATTAATGCTTATTGAAATAAATTTAATAAACTGCTTTATCTCTCAAAATAAAGGGATACTATTTTGTTATTGAAACGAAAATTAATAGGAAGCTATCATCAAAAAATCAAAAAAACATTGATAGTAAGGACCTGAAATTGCCTTAAATCTAAAATAATTTTGAAATTAAAAAAATTTTATTTGCAAACAAGAAGCATCACTTAAAGTAAGAAAAATGATAAATGGTGATCGATACTTTGATGAAAATTAGAGATTGAAATTAGTATAACGATATAATTAATTAAATGACTCTTGTTTTAATAACATCATTAGAATTTAATTATCACAATTTAACATAATTTTACCAGCATTTTGCTCATAATTTCCTTCCAGATACAAATAAATTATGGATATTGACACATAGAACATTTTAATTTTAATTAAGCCTTATCTTTGCCAAAATCTCAAACTATTGTATCATATCAATTAACAGCTTTAATAAATTTATTAAAAACAATAGAATTTAAAGCCTGTAAAAAAACATCAGTATAAAATTGATTAAACTTTTTTTTTCTACTCCTTATTCTCTTTAGATTGCTGAACAAGATTGATAATTTATATTATTACTATTCAACTTTCAATTTACTTATTTCACAATTTTTCTTCTTTAATATCCATTTTCACCCATGTACCAACTTTATTTCCATTTTGATATTCACCTTTTTAAGTGAATTATTAGTTAAACTCAAACTCATCATCCAACTCTATCCACTACCCAGCCTTAAAAGAGCCTCTTTATACCTCTTCATACAAACCACCACCACTAAAGTCTTTTTTATTATTTATACATTAATTGATAAGTTTTTCTATCTTCTTCCTTAACAAAAATATCCCATCTACCAATTTTCTAACCATTTTTATATTCACCATTATAAATGACTTATGAATAATTAAAAAATTCATCATTCAGCTCTCTCCATTCACCATTCCTTTGGCCTTATTCATTATACAATCCACCACCACTAACAAATTTTTTATTTATCTTTTTACATCAATTATTGGGTTTCTCTTCTATTCTATCTAAATAAAATATCCCACCTACCAATTTTCTTACCATTTTGATATTCACCATTATGAATGACTTATGAATAATCTTAAAATTTATCGTTTATTTCTATCCACTTACCATTCCTTAGACCTTAATAACTGTACATTCCACCACCACTAAATCAATCGATTTAAATTTTACATTAATTCCTAAGTTTCGTTTCCTTACTTCGTATAAAAAATATCCCATTTACCTACTTTTTTACCATTTTTATATTCCCCATCATAAGTGACTTATGAATATAAATTAAATCCATCACTGTATTCTATCCATCTTCCAATCTTAATTGAACCTTCATCAACTTCATCATATAATCCACCATGAAAAATTTTGTTTTTACTTATTATTAATTCAAATGTTTACACTTATTGTTCCAAAGCTTAAATATACCATCTACCAACTTTTATTCCATTTTTATATCGACCGTGATAAGTGACTCTTGAATAATAATGATATCCATTATTTATTTCAATCCACATTCCAATTTTAACTCCTGTATCGTATAATCCACCTCCACTAAGATTTGATACTTTTAATATTTACATCTTTTGATATATGTTCGACCTTTGATCCCTAAATATAATATCCCATCTACCCATTTTCTTACCATTTTGATATTCACCATTATGAGCGACTTGATGAGTGCTCAAAAATAGATCACCTAACTCAATCCAATTCCCAATCTTGATTGAGTCTCCCTAAACCTCTTCATACAATCCACCGCCACTAAAATTTGATTTTTAATATTTAGTAATTAATCTTACATTTTTTGCTCGCCTTCATAATTAAAATGAATGTCCCATTTATCAATTTTTCTCCCGTTTTTATATCTACCATGATAAGTAACTTTTGAATAAATCTGAAATCTATCACTCAACTCAATCCACATCCCATTTTTAATGCCAATATCATATAATCCACCTCCACTAAGATTTGATACTTTTAATATTTACATCTTTTGATATCTATTCGATCTTTGATCCCTAAATAAAATATCCCATTTACCCACTTTCTTACCATTTCGATATTCACCATAATAAGTAACTTATGAGAAATTAAAAAATCCGTCACTTAACTCTATCCATTTACCTTACTTTTGTCCTTATTTATTATATAATCCTCCACCACTATATAATTAATGTATAAATATACATAATATTATTTTTATAGTTATATTTCCACACTCCAATTTTTTCATCATTAAAGTATTCTCCATTTTCACATATTTCTGCTTAACTATAATTAAACTGAATATCAAATATACTTCCAATAATTCTTAGTAAATTAATTCCATAAACCTTACTTTAAACCATCTTCATAGTAACCCCCAACTTCTTTATAACCAGGACCTGACCAATTAGCTTTCCATTTACCAGACTTTCTGTTATTTTATCCAAACTCACCTTCCCAATGAAGATATTTTATCTAATCAATATTATTATATTGATCATGATGCTTTTACTTATCTGAATGTTATTCACTTTTTATATTAAGGAAGATCTCTTACATTCTCAAAACCATTCCATCCAGCGAGTAAAAAATAAAGTTATCTTAAGTAAATGATATTTGAACTTAAACTTTCACAAGCCTGAAGTGAATTTAATCCCACATATCAAGCTCTAATTCTTTATTACAATTTTCCTATATTGTAAACTAGTGTTGAATCAGGTTATCTGATATTAAAGAATTCCTCATTTAAATATTTATTTCATTTCTAAATATATGATAATGCTTGACATAAAATAATTATATAAAATTAGAACACCAAAATAGGTGTTATTTTACTATTTTAAAAATTGCCATTAGTAAAGGATGAATTTAGAATCTTTTAATTCAATATATATCACAAGAAAATTACGTATTGAATATGATTATTATCCTTCTTCATAAAATCATATAGTTATAATCTTTATAATTAATTTTTAATGATTATGAAATATCTTATTACTTTAGAAATTCATATTATATTAGCTATTTACTATTGATACTAAAGCGAGTTCTTATCTAAATCAGGATTTATTTATTTTTAAATACTTTCAAATTTCTTCAAAATGTCTTTAAGAAAATAATTTGCATACATTTGATTTAGTTAAAATTTTTTTTTGTCTTAAAAAATTAGTATCTGTAATGATTAAAGGATTATCTTAATCCTAATTGTATAGGTACTAAATATGAAATCATTAGGAGGAAATTAGGATTTTTGTGGTAAAAATTAGATCAGGAAATAAAGCAATTTAAATGAATAAAAGCAAAATGAGGAATTGTTTTTTTTATGGTTCAATCTGAAAGGAAAAGCAGATCTGTGTGAAGAAATTGAAGAAAATATGAAGATGCTAACGAAGAAGAATTAAAGTTGCCAATGAAATCTAAAAATAATTCAAGAAATATTCTGAAAATTTAAGAGAAAAAAGAACTCAAAATCTGATAATCAAAATTATGAGACGTATATTATTATTAAAAAAAAAATTTAATTGTGATAAAAAAAATTAGGTAAAGTTGTAAGATCAGATCCTTATACAAATCAATTTTTTTTATACCCTTCAATTTTTAATTTTGTATTGACAATTGTATGTTAACTGGATTAGCTTTGCCTAAAGAACCGTTTTCTCGTCCATAAATCCTTTATTATATTTATTTGAAGGAATCTCGATAATCATAAAATTAGGTTGGTGACTTATATTTAAATCATATAATCATTTTAGAAGGATACATCTAAGAAATGAAAAACCTCTTAAAAAAATAATTGGTTAATAAAGTTTAGTAAATTGATGAATTTATCAAAAATTTGAAATAATGAATTAAGGATGACCAGCTGATTCAAAATTAGTACAAAGAGAGAAGAAACAACAGACAGTTGTAAAGACGAATTCACTTTTAAGTCAATTATCTGATCAACATTTATAAAGTCTTTTGTTGAGTTATTTAATAATTAAGGAGGTGAATATCTCCTTAATTATTTTATAGTTCAAGTGAGAACAAGAATTTGAAGAGTTGTTTACAGAAAGGTTCATTTCAACTTAGTGGCTGATAGGGAAAAACCAGACGGTGTTTCCCATCAACTTAGTAAACAATAAATATTTCCATTATCTATTCTTCTATAGGTGTCGATGTCGCTATCAGCAAAAATGACTATTCAATCTTATCGTATGAACTGCTAAACTTATCCATCAATATTTCTTTCTGCTGGGAACCATCCTCTACTAGATCCTTTACTTATCATCTTCCAACCCTCTTTTGAAATTTTCATTCATCATCTGTTTTCTCATGTTACAGTTTTTTTTTCCATGCTATTCTTCAAATTATTGTTCTAGCCTCTATTCATATTAAGTAAGTATTTTCTTTGGTAATTCAAATGTATCTTCAAAGTTTAGTAATGAGTTGGATTTGGAGATTGAATAAATTTGTTTAACAGATTAATGTCCCCAATGTATTTAATGATGAAATCCTCCATTCTACCGAGATCTTAAGTTTTGACTTAAAGATCCCATTTGTTATGGGTAAGCCCTTTTGATGAATCCTATTCACGAATCGCAAGGGAGTTCCGCATTTTCATTTTAAGTCCGAGCCCTAGGATCCTGTTAGGTCTTTTTCGTTGGTCTCTGTTATGGGATCTGATCTTCTATGATAATATATGCATTTGAGATCTATTGTTGATTTAGGGGGGGAGGGGGATTTGTTGGTCTACTCTTTCGACATACATTTCCGCGCTGTTAAATGAGTCATCTAATTGTACTCTATCTCATTTGACGTTGATTATATAGTAGTTCCAATTGGAAGTTAATAGACTTACTTTATTACTCTTCTCTTGAAATAGTTTATCCAGAAGGAATAGCTATGTCCTGTTG